AACAAAATACATTTTTTACAATGAAATTAAAAGTTGTACCTAACACTAGTTTCATGCTATTTTCTAGTTATCTGCAATACTCACACTTATTAATAGCTTATTATACAGGGGCTCAATAAATGTTACTTTAGTTTAGTAGCTACATGAGGAGATAAGTGGAAAAATTTGACCAATACCTAATACTAGAAGCCTGATGCATGGATTTGTGCACCAGTGGGGTCCCTCAGGCTGGCCAACTTGCTCTCCTGACACCCCCTGAGAGGTCCCAGATTGCAAGAGGACACAGGCCAGGCCACGGGACCCCACCGGTGCACAATCAGGCCAGGGAGGGGCTAAGGGAAGGCTCCAGGGAATGTCGGGCCCATCTCACCCAGTCCTGATCAACTGGACCCCAGCAGGAAGCTAACCTACTGTTCAGAGTGTCTGCCCCCTAATGGTCAGTGCACATCATAGCAACTGGTTGAACACAACGTATTAGTGTTAACAGTCGGACACTTAGCATATTAGGCTTTTATTACCTATAATAATAAAAGCATAAAATGCTAATTAGACCAGTGTCCTTTTGGACATCCTTCCTTCCGGATAGTGGTCAGGGGCCACTGCAGAGGTGGGCAGGGACAACGGCAGAGGGGCTGGGGCCGGGGCCAAGACCCTTACATGAATTTCACACATCCGGCCTCTAGTATAGGATATAAAGAGTTCCTACAAATATATCTTTACAGTGGTATTTTATATTTAGAATTCATTTTTCTAAATCAATCAAATTGCCATATTTTGAAATTTGTTTCCAAGCACAAAATTTTTCACATTAAACTGATTTCATGAATTCCCTACAGCCCGTTTCAAGGTAGATGCTATTGGATCAGACTTTTCTCTTCCAATACCAATTTTGAACTTTTTCTTTTGTATTGAAGTGACTTCAGGCAAAAAGAATGTATCTTGAGTTGTTTTAATGAATTTTTATAGGACTGATTTAAATTTAAAAGATGTCAAGATACTTTACTGTAATAAGCCATCTAATACATTGTATGAAAAAAGTCAACACTGAGCTGTATGTTTAGAAATGGTTAAGATGGTAAATTTTATGTTATATAGTTTACCACAATAAATATTTGAGGGGAAAGTGTAAAAAATTACACTCAGTTGAACAGTTGGTAAATCTTGATTTGCTTAAACGTAAAATCCAGGGTGGGGCAAAAGTAGTTTTACAGTTATTCATATGGAAAATAGCACAATACTTAATAAGTAATAACACAAGAATAAATTGTTTTGAGTACTTACAACTGCAAACCTACTTTTGGCCCCACCCTCTATTTGTTTATACAACTTGAGATACATAACATCTTGGCTAGTCTTTGAATTCTTCCCATTTTGAGCCTTTTCTTATTTGTTAAATGGGGAGGGCAATTATCTATCTATATGTTTTAAAATTCTAAATTTACTTTACTTGTAAATAAAATGTTCCCTTTTGACTCTATTCTCCCTTCAATACTATTAATACCATTATTTGGAGAACCACGTATCTAAGTCTCATTAATTCTTGAAACTTGTAAATAAAATGTTTGGCTTCTTGGCTATGCAAACAACTATAAGAAGGATAGATACAGAGATGAGGAAATAGAAATCAAATCAGTTGCAAACAGTAAATTTGCAGGTTTAAATGGAACTTACTGGCATAGAAATGGTAACACATTTAAGATTCTATATATTAGATTGCCCTATAAGTCTGCTTTATCAGAGGCTGTTTAAAATAAACCCATAAAGCGACATTTATGAAGTTTTTTAGTAAGTATACATGTTTCAACCTGAGAAAAGCAGAGGAGTCCTAGCAAGGATGCCTTGGCCATCTCTTTGTCTTGTGAAAAGTTAAAACAGAATAAACATTATTGTATAGTAAACTTCATTAATATCATTATAAATTCAAATTGCAAGTACTTACACAATGTACATATATTTCTTGTAAATATTGTTAAAAATAATGATCTTCCACACATTATATGAATTTTATAAACAAACTAGAGGCCTAGTGCATGAAATTCATGCACTTGGGAAGGGGTTGTTCCTTGGCCCGGATTGTGAGAGGGCACAGGCCAGGCCAAGGGACCCAACCAATGCACAATTGGGGCTAGGGAGGGATGCGGGAGGTTGGCCAGCCACGGAGGGACTATGGGAGAGCTCCAGAGTTATGTCCGGCCCATCTTGCTCAGACTCCAGCAGCAAGCTAATCTACTAGTCAGAGTGTCTGCCCCCAGTGCATGCCATAGTGAGTGGTTGAGGGGCCTTAGCATATCATTAATATAGTGTACTTTGTTTGGTTGAACAGCAGACCAGATGACCAGACACTTAGCATATTAGACTCTTATTATATAGGAAAAAGGGAATACAACCTAAAATCAGTGAAATTTCCAACTAAAGCTGGAACAATTGAGTTATGTCCCTTTGCCTTTAACTTTTGTAACAAAGTATGGACTCCTTCATGTGAAAGCACTTTTAGCTTTGACACCCCTTATTAGCATCAGGGGTGCAGTAGTCTTTGTTCTATTCACATTAATGGTTCCAGCCATTTTTACTACTTTTGGGGACTCCTCTCTGCTTAGTTTCTGAGTTTTGCTCCTTTTTTTTTTAGTTCTCAAGGCAGAATTTTCGTTTTCTCTACCCCCTCTTTTGGCCTTTCCAACTTCACTGATTGCTTTACCACCCCTTTCACTATCTACTTTCTTCTTCCTTCGGGCTGGAAGGTACACCTAGCCAAAATCACAGGTGACCTCTTATGCACATGGTCCTTAGAATGAGTCAGGTGATTTTTCCTTGTCCACTGAGCTACATTCAGTCCCATCATCATCCCTCTTACCCTTAAACCCATGATTTAGGCTACCTATAAGTTGTTACTCCTTCATTATATCTTTGAATTGCTAGTATCTATTTCAAAATTAGTTTATAATATTGTTTGATATAAGGAGAATCTTTTTAAAAAATATGTTTATATTTATTGCAGAGATGAAGGGAAAGGAGGAGAGAGAAACATCAATAATGAGAAAGTCATTGATTAACTGCCTCCTGCATGCCCCATACCGGAGATCAAGCCTGCAACCCAGGCATGTGCCCAGACCAGGAATCCAACCATGATTTGGTTCATAGGTCAATGCTCCACCACTTAGCCATGCAGGCCGGGCAGGAGATTCTTAGTTTTAAAATATATATGCTAGGTCATATTTTTGTTGGCTCTCTCATTCATAGCCCCCAATATTTCTGTTAGGTTTTACTTAACATGTTTTTGAAAAAAGGAAACATATGCTGTAGGTTTGCAAGGTGGGCCATACTCAGTCCTGATTAGCTCACTGTGGGCTTTTTGTGTCTTTGTGTCCTTAGGGCAAAGATATTTGTATTGCACAAGTCTGTTCCCATTTTATGATGAACTCAGAATGTCATTTAGGGACAGGAGCATTGAATGAATCTGAAAAAAAAGGGGGGGTTAAGTATTGTAGACATGGCGATTGCTTCTCCAGTAAGTACAGGTAAAACTCTCCCCTCCTACAATGGACTTGGTATATAGTTTTTCTTGCATTCTGAACCAGAGACCTTGAAAGATGAAAAAGGAAATAGAGGGTCAATGTTAAAGTTAGAGCAATGCTTCTCAAAATACAATAAAATTAAGTACTAGAAAATTGAAAAACATACTCCCTTTTTATTAGTGTATTTAACTGATGAAATTAGTATGTCAAATTGACTTACAAGTTTCTAAACACTCATTGTCACTATGCTGTCCCAGTCCAGCAATGACTTGGACACCAGCACCAGTGGGGAGACTACACTTTCATAGCCCTGATTCAGGGCATTCCACTCACACCAGACAGGAAGTGCTACTTTCCAACAGAAACTCAGTGAAGGTTTTGGAATGATTGCTCTACTTGAATTTAGAGGGAAAAAGAAATGAGAGATCTATCAATGAATGACCTGAAGACTAAATGAAGCAGTGAACACTTACTGAAGATTTTTAGTAGAAAGTACACATAGTAAATGTTTGCTCTGTCATAATGTGATCGAAGCAAAACCCCACAACTTTAAAGAATTGGTAAATTTTAATTAAAAAGGTATGAAGTCCTTTTCCTATGAAATATTCTTCACAAAGAAAATGGTTTCCCCCATCCCCAACTCTGTCTGATTATAGGTAAACATCTTAAGAAACACTGAATCAGAATATTTCATATGCTATTGTAGGTTGCTGCTTTATTTTCCCTGCACACTGCTAATTGCTTTCTAGACCTAATTTTTGGAATGCAGTTTCTTTCACATTTATGGATTACGGGTTCTACAGAGGCTCTGATCTACTCCTCTGTGCTAGGAGAGCACTACAGGAGATAGCCAGTCAATTGGGATTAGAATTCAATGTGTCAGCTAATTCACAAATCCCAGTACAGAATTTAGCACTCTTGGTCAACAGTGACTCTACAGGAAACTTGGCCTCCAAAAATCAATTATTGGATTATATCCAGCTAACCCAAGAGTGGGTTTGATGGTGACTGTTTTTATTTCCTATTACCAATAAAGTTATATTCATTTTATAAGCATAAATGTTTTTAAAAAAGTTATTTTTTAAAATATTAGTTTTGTTGAGTGATGTTGCATTCTACAGAGTTACTTTTCAAGATATTTGAATTAGAAAAACTGAAATCACTATAAAGGAATGTAGTGTCTTACGATTTTCAGAATAAAATGAAATAACCACCCATTTAAGACATTCATTTAACTCAGATGTTTAAAATATTAAGAAAATAAATAAATTCTCTTGGCAAATATCTTGTGTGACGAAATTGCAGGGAAGTATGGGGTAAAAGGTAAGTGATGCCTTTGGATGGCCTCTCTGTTAAGAAGAAATCCAGGGGCAGATTGTCTTCATGGTGCACATCAACAGTTGTAACATTGGAAGATTCATTGTGACAGATAATAGAGTTTAAATGGTTTATACTTTTATACTTCTGTGTTGTGTTCCTATCTTACAGACTTTTATAGTATTGAATAAAGGGAAGGCCATCTTCCGGTTCAGTGCCACCTCTGCCCTGTACATTTTAACTCCCTTCAATCCTCTTAGGAAAATAGCTATTAAGATTTTGGTACATTCATATCCTTTTCAAGTAATCAATATTAACTATTTGTACATAATCTATAAGTGCTTTGGCTAAATATAAAATTAAGTTAGGACACATATATATTTTATGGCCTTGTCACTCTAATTTTGTATCTACTTTTGTCATATAAGCCTTATTCTTCTTTTATAAGCTTTACTCTTGAAGTATATTAGCCACATAGATGTCACTGAAACTTACAGTCTTAACATTATATATCTACATATACCTTTCTAATAATACTTGTATGTGTTAAGTCCTACAAATCTAGTGTAAGATAGCTATACTACTCTTTACTATATTTGTACACAGTTTGTAATGATCAGAAATAGGCATCAAAGAATGATATTAAAGAAGTCTAATTCCATAGCCAAGTTTAGACATATCTATATTAGATAGCATTTTAGTTTACCTTAAAATAAATCTTTAAGCATATTTTCTATGAAAGAGGCTCAGAGGGCTTGACTAATACTTAGCTAATTCTTGAACTTTTCTAATGAATTCTGTGAAGGAATTACAGAAATACTGGCTGAATTTCCAATTTAACTCATTGAATTATTACTACCAAGCAAAACTGATTGCTTAGTAAAGACTACAGAAGTTAATAAAGATGCTTAGATTATATTTCCAAATGGTCTTTAGAGATGTGGCAATGTGATTCCCATGGTGTTAAAGAAAAAGAAGGACTTTATAAATAACTTCAACTGTTCATATTCATTGGCAAAAACTTTCTGATTATGTCTCATTTGATGGCTTTGGCAATAAGAAAAATAGAAATACTTATATAATAATCATAAACTCATACAACCTGGTTCTTTAAAAAAGTATAAAACTTAAAATAAAAGATCATTCTATTTTTAAACTGATAATAAGAAAATCCTCAGTGATGTAAATATGTTATTGTTAAAATTAAAAGATTTGAAATATGAAACTCATATGTTCAGCATTTTTAAGGGTATGGTTTCCATATCCTAGTTTTTGTTTCTAGTGCCATCATGTGGTCATTTGATGAAAACTTACTTTTTTTTTTTTTACTTAATGGAAAATTTTTGCTTTGGCAATAAACTGTAGTAGAAAGAATATTGAATATGAAGGCAGAAAATTTGTGTTCTAGTCCTCGGCTGAGTTATCTAATTTCTCTGTGTTTTAGGCCTTATTTTCCTGATGTCTAAAAATAGAGTGATTACAATATTTGTTTTTCTAGGTCCCTTTTAGTCACTTGTTTTAGCTAATACTTATCATATCACACACATTAACTCATTTAATCTGCACCTCAAACTGATCCTGAGTGACTTGCCCAAGACCATTTTTAGGCTAAATTTTAGTTATATTCACAACATCTTAAGTCCTGGCCATAAATAATATTCACTTTTAATCATATCCATGGCTGCTACAGTTAATTCAGTCAAAACAGAGTAACCCAACACCTAGCACCATGCTGCTCTTTGTATATACATTTTAAAATGTGTTGAACTCTATTAAGTAACATTTATTTCAGAAATTATAATATTGCAGGTATGTGTCCTCTTCAACAACTTACTATTTTAATCACCTGAAATAGTTTAAGTCAATCTCTCTGCTCAAAAACTATAAGGCCCCAAATTACACATAGTTTTCCCTCTAAAGTTCTCTGAGGGGTAAATAATTTCACTTAGTAATAGTAGCAAAAGCAAACTTTGTCCTTATATAAAGCTTTCTTGTACATTGTCTCATTTAATCTATATCATTACTCTCTGAGGTTGATATTATTACTACATTTTACCAATGACAAAACTGAAGTTTAAAGAGATTAGATAACATGTCCATGATGTATTTTTCATGAGCCCTGGCTAAAATTCAGTTTAAGCTTTTCAATGTCAGTTTTATATAATACATGGATTTGTATTTTTGTGTGTGTGTGTTCCTTAACAATAACCCACATTATTCAGCATGCTAATTATGTGCACCATTTTGACCAACTGTGTGTTTATGACAATGAGTAACCCTCCTGAATGGACAAAGAATGTAGAGTAAGTTCAACTTATATTTTAAACCATCTATTATGTGACTATATATGTATGTTAGGTAGATAGATATAAGTATATACATATAGATAAATATAGACATATAGACATAGATATACATATGTATAGTTAGGATTTTGAAACTATGTCTTAATGTACCTTCTAAATAAAACTGAAGAGCTTGTTTATTTAAAGGCATTTCTAGGCACAATTTCAAAGCAGGAAGATGATACTCATTGATCCATAAGCCTGCTAGGGGTGGGCTAATATCTCTCATTCATGCATACTTGGTGGATACCAGGAGCCCATCATTCTTGGACACTTACCACTTTTCCTTCAGGATCTAGAGTGGTCAAAGCAAATGTGGTGAAAACAATTGCAAAAAAGAGCCATATAGTAGGATTTGGTCCCAGGTAAATTTCAGATGAATTCAGTGAGTTACAAATTTATAGGGGCAGGTTACACATGCCATCAGAAGACATTGCTGAGTCTCACAATGTTTTCCCTTTCATCAGGCACATCCTATTCATGTCAGGCCTATATGCCAAAAGTTGGGATTTTAAAACTTGAGAATTCAATAGATTGAGAACTAAACTAACTGAGGTGAAAGAATAGCATTTTCAGAAAACAGAAACATTAATCACTACATTTGTAGGCTCTGTTCTGGAATACATTTGAGAGCAGAGAGTCCAGATCTGTGGGCTCATTCTACCCATGTTGTGACCACTATTACTCCATGGCTTTGACCCTTAAAACAACAGCCCAGAGCTCTTCCCAAGATCTTCTTCAGTTCTTAGAAAGTTCCAGATTAGAGCCAATCAGAAAAGGGACAAGATTATGAAGGAAAAAAACATTATATACAAAGAATGCCTGAAGTATTGACATTGACATCTGAGGTCCACAGGTCTTTAGTCATCCTAGTTTTTGTGATTTTATCCTTTGACTTCTGAGTAAAAGATTTAAACTTGGAAACATCCCAAGCTTCTGAGTTAGCCTCATATTTCATTCTAAATTATGACTCTGGAATGATCTACTTTGTTGTTAACAAAATTCTTTTTGCAAGTAAGTTAATCTGTCTTATGGAAAGAGAGAAAGACTTATTAATTTGTCAATGTTTTTCATTCATAAAACATGATTGAAACTGAGTTTTTTACTTTTGGGGGAAAAATCATTTTATGCTTCTGCAATATTATGGATTGGCCATTCCATCACATGAATGTACTAGAATTCTCAGGGGGCTTTATGCATTAATGTCAATACTAAGACATTTCAGATAGTACCTAGCTAGACTTTATATAGCATGTATTTCTCACTCTGCTCTCTAGGGAATTGAACTTAAAGTAAGGGCTGTGTTTTATTTACATGAAAATAATATCAACCTGCTTAGATTCCTTTTATAATATAATATTCACCTATTCCACTAATAGGGTGATAAGAAATTGACATGTGATGAAAAATATATTACTTTATCTACTCTTTCTGGATACTTATCTCCAGGTACACCTTCACTGGGATATATACTTTTGAGTCACTTATAAAAATTATTGCCAGGGGCTTCTGTTTAGAGGATTTCACTTTCCTTCGGGACCCATGGAACTGGCTCGACTTTACAGTCATTACGTTTGCGTAAGTGCCTTTTTTGAAACTTCAAAAGAGTATGGTTTGGCTTTCGATGACGGTTTATGCTTTGAAAGAATAAGCTTGCTGTAACTGCAGAATATCTTCGTGTGATTTATACATTTAAGCTTCCGATTTTAATTTAGTATAACAGAGGTCAAAGTGACATTTCACTTTGGCATAAAGTCTTTGCATTGGTTGAAATGACAGTTTTCACATGTAACAAAAGTATAGCAAATTTCATTCATGCTGCTTTTTCAACACACACACACACACACACACACACACACACACACACACTAATAAGAAAGAAAAAGTTTATTCATTTTACATCTGTGAAAATGACTTTTAAAAAATACAGGCACAAACAACTCTGCTGGTCGCACCAATTTTCATTGACCTTACCCATTGAATTTTCTATCCTCTATTAGTTTAGTAAAATAATAGAAAATAAACATCTATTAGCATCAAAACATTTCAAATCACACTGAGGTGGGGGGTGATAAAGTATTTAATATATTAAATTTTTATTTCATCAGCAAGTAATTTTAAGTCTTACTCTACTTTCTCCTTCTAAACTGATTCCTTTTCTTTCTTTCTTATTTCCCTTTATGACTATTGTCATCTCTCTTTACCCTCAACATAAACCTTTTATTCATGCCTCCCTTCCAGATACACTCAGTATGTGCACAATATCACATCCCTGCCTACTCCCACATCCCAACTTTTTTTTTTTTTTTTTCAAGTGGTAAATTTCCCCAAGAGAGAGGAAACTCAAAAAAGTAACAGAAGGTCATTCAGGAGTGGGTGAAATTAACGTGTGGAGGAAAGTGGACCTGCACCACTTGCCCTCATCATTCTCTCCGGAGAGAACTTTTTTAGCCTTTACAGGTATACTGGGTAGATGGGAAGAGAAGCAGAGCTGATATACTCAGGGCTCCAAACACGGCCTCTCTCCTCTTCTTTCTGTAATCCAACCAGGAAGTGCCAATTCTTTGCCATTCCCTCTGGCCATGATTTAAAAGAAGGCATTTTGAGACTGATGATTTTTAGAGCAAAATAGCCGTAATGGCAAGAGCATCATTGGGCCCCCATAAAATATTGTCCTTAGTTTGCCTAACTTTCACTTAAAGGTTACATTAGAAAAACGTTGTCCTGTACAGCTAGTCAGGCAATCTGCCTTTTCATGCATAAATTTCATTTGCATAATTGTATGCATTTTTTTTCTAACTGCAACCTGGAACTACAATTAAGCTTTCTCTTAACTTAATTCTCCTAAGTTACACATGATGTTGATGGCATTTGCTTTTCAAAATGGCAACAGGATTGTGCACTTCGTGAAGTTTACATCTAGTTGATGGCCTTAAATTATGTGAATAAAGAAACCCACAGCAATAGGCTCTATTATTTAAATTGCTATTGACACAATTATCATTTAAAATCACCAAGAATGTCTTTATAAAAGATCCAAGCAAATATATAAAATCCTGCTTAAATTTTTAATAACTCTGATTTAATTCTACAGGTTTGTAACAGAATTTGTAAGCGTAGGCAGTTTTTCAGCTCTTCCAACTTTCAGAGAGCTTTGAAAACTATTTCTGTAATCCCAGGTAAGAAGTGGTTAGTGTAAAGCACAAGGCTCCTTTTATCTACAGCTCTTTCTTTGTATCCTGTTATTGTGTTTGTGTGTGAACTCCCCACTGCAGATATGTGACAGAGTTTGTGGACCTGGGCAATGTCTCAGCGTTGAGAACATTCAGAGTTCTCCGAGCACTGAAAACAATTTCAGTCATTCCAGGTGAGAGCTGGGTTAAAAGCCATCATGTGTTTTTTAGCAACAGCTTCTTTGTTTGATGTTTAGCACTTCAGAAAATCAGAAACATAATAACTAAAATCATAGTAATCATAATAGGGTGTTTTAAAGAAAATTATTCTTATTATTGGGACAAAAGTTTTTATGGTCTCACATTTTTTATTGATCTTTTTTAGAGAGGTAGGTAGAGGGATAGAGAGATAGAAACATCATCAATGGGAGAGAAACATCCATTTGCTGCTTCCTGTACAACACTTTGTGGGAGATGAGCCCAAATCCAGGCATGTGCCCTGACCGGGAATGGAATCAGTGACCTCTGGGCTCTCAGGTCAATACTCAACCACTGAGCCACACCAGTTGGGCTGATCTCACATTTTTTATCAGCCTTGGAGTTTAACAAGTTCTTGCCACAGACACTGTAATATAGAGTCTGTATGATTTGTGCTTAGAAATGTCAATTTTTTCTCTATATTCATTGTAAGGATTTGGTCCCTATTGAATGTACTGATCTGTAATTTCTTATTTATTGTAGTCATTGATATCTGTGCAAATACAATGTAATCTTAATATTGTTTAAAAAGACAAGGGAAACCTGGCCAGTGTTGCTCAGTGGTTGAGCATCAGCTTATGAATCAGGAGGTCACGGCTCCATTCTCTGTCAGGGCATGTGCTTGGGTTGTGAGTTCAATCTCCAGGGGCATACAGAAGACAGCCGATCAATGATTCTCTCTCATTAGTAATGTTTCTATCTCTATCCCTCTCCCTTTCTCTCTTAAATCAATATATATAATATATATATATTAAAGGCAAGGGAATAAGATAATACAGACTAGCATGAGTCTGCATGGAAAATGTATTATCTTAAGGTATATTTATATTCCAAATTATCCCCAGTTTTATATAAAAATATTGCTTACTTATAAATAGAAATTCAAAAATATTTATTCAGGTAATTTGGTATAAAACTGACTGGTATCTGGTATAAATTTGGTATATATTTGGTATAAAAATTATGGGGCAAGTTTCATTAGCAAAAAGAGAAATATTAATACAAGAGCCTTTCCTAATATGGACTTTATGACGATCAGGAATCTTCCCTTATTTTCTCTCCAACATATTGGGATATGGATCTTCATTTCATTGTTTCTTTCTGGAGGTCATCTCCAGAAGCACCAGCCTACCATCAAGTTTTGTTTTTTCACTAGCATTGGCATCATTTTCAGACTTGTGCATGGAATCTATGTTTTCAAGAAAATTGTAAGGCTTTTATTTTTTCAGACCTTTTAAGTCTTCATGGTAATGGCCCTCTTCCATTCTTGCAGGCCTGAAGACCATCGTGGGGGCCCTGATCCAGTCTGTGAAGAAGCTCTCAGACGTCATGATCCTGACGGTGTTCTGTCTGAGCGTGTTTGCGCTGATCGGCCTGCAGCTGTTTATGGGCAACCTGAGAAATAAATGTGTCCAATGGCCTCCCACCAATTCCTCCCTGGAGGAGCATAGCATAGAGAAGAATATAACTGTGAATTACAATGGCACACTTGTAAATGAAACTGTCATTGAGTTTGACTGGAAATCATATATTCAAGATTCAAGTAAGAATTACTATTATGTAGATTTATTTTTTATTGTTGATCTGCCTTCCATTTTGGTATAGATATATATATTTTTTAATGGTTGCATCATAGTTGATAATCTCTTAATCACCATAGCAATGTTTTGCACATATATTTAATTACTTTATTCATAGCTATTCTAATTTTGACTCATAAGTAGCATTTTATGTGGTATTGTCATAAGGGAAGCTGAAGAATTCAGTTAGAAACTTTCCTGGAATCTTTGGTTGCTATACATTCTCCTTGTGCTGGTCGAGACAATTAAATAACATAAGAATTTCTAAAGCCCTTTTTGAACTGTAAAGTGCTATCCAAATGTAACCCATAAAACATTAATTACAGAACTAGAGGTTTAGTGCATGAAATACGTGCATGGGGTGTGTGTCCCACAGCCCAGCCTGCACCGTCTCCAATCTGGACCTCTTGAGGGCAGTGGGATATCTCTCTCACAATCCAAGACTGCTGGCTTCCAACTGCTCTCATGCCTACCTTCCTGATTGCCCCTAACTGCTTCTGCCTGCCAGCCTGATCACCCCCTAACCACTCCCCTGCCAGCCTGATTGCCCCTAATTGCCCTCCTCTGCCAGCCTGGTCACCCCTAACTGCCCACCCCTGCAGGCCTAGTCCCCCCACTGCTCTCTCCTGCAGACCTACCCCCCCCACCCAACTGCTCTTCCCTACAGGCCAGGTCACCCACAACTGCCCTTCCCTGCTGGCCACCTTGTGGTGCCCATTTTGTGTCCAAATGGGGGCAGCCATCTTTGACCACATGGGGGCAGCCATCTTGTGTATTGGAGTGAATGTCAATTTGCATATTACTCTTTTATTAGATAGAATGCCTTTTATGTACTAGAAACTGTATAGGATGCTAGGAAATTAATGCTGATTACACATGGCTTCAGGATGCTTATGTTTTAGTAAATTATTTTTATTGTCATTTTATGGAAATCAAGTGAGACTAAAGATAAACATTACTCTTATATTGTATTTGTAGAATAAGAATTAAAAGTAGTATTATATCAAGTAGAAGGAAATTGGAGTGAATTAAACTTTTAAAAAGAGTAATAAAAATGTCAAATAAATCAGTGGATTTGTGGGAATTCAGTTTATTTTTATTTCAAGAGTTCAGACCAAATAGTCAAATATTTAAATAGTCTACTTTAAAGGATGGAAAAAACAATTGGCCTAATATCCTTTCTCTTTTAAAAGTGACAAGAAATGTAAGTGAAATTTTCTCTTTTATTTAATTTTAATATCTGCCAGTAGCAATATTTCAAAGCCAGAGAGAGTTAGAACATGATTCATGGGTAACAGGAATGCTCTTTTAGAGAAAAATATTAAATATATGAAATTTAAACTTTAGATGTATTTAAATTTAGCTATATCTTTATTATTTTGAGGTGATGCTTATAGAAAAAATTTATTACTTTAAGGTGACAGGGAAAAATCAAAAAGGGAAGAAACATTAGTAACTGTTTTTATAAAAGGCTACTGGGGACTTGATAATTCTTAAGGTAATGATAATATAATCTTAAAAATAAATCAGTGTCTTTTTATAGTTGCAGATCTAGAAAATACCTTGGTTGCTACATTTGAACTCTTCCATGATATTAATGATATGCTAACAAATAATTTACAAAGTTGTAAATATTTAGGTTAAAAAAATACCTTGATTAAGAAAAATAGATGTCAGAACAGTTCATGAAATGTCCCTTATTGACTTCCTATGCCAATAAGTTCACTGATGTCGTCAACTCTCTGAATTTTTTTTTTAATGTAATAACAAGGAGCTGACTATGAAGATGTCATTTAGGGTTTATTCTCTGTGGTGAAAATTTATTGGGTGCCATTTTTCATATATTCAAAGTTAATAATATCTAAGGCCATTTTCAGCTCTAAAATTTGTTTCCTAATAATATTCCATTTGTTGAAAACATTTATTTTAAAACAAATACAAATATAAACTAAGTAGTTTCTCTTTGAAAATATTAGAAAATTAAATTCATTAAAATTAAAAATAAATTTTTTCAGATTAAGCTTATAAATCAGTGAATTTAATTGGGAATAAAACTTCACATAAATAACTGATATAAAAAATTCCTCCAGAAACTACATATTCCTTTCACTTTGTTTAATTTTTAATAAAAGTTAAAAATTCTATTATAATTTTTCTATGTTCAAAGAAATAAAGTTGTTAGAAATGAAAATTATATTTTGTATTATGTGTTTTGTATCCCTTACAGAACTATGCATTGGGTAAATTTCTCTGAAAGTTTAAGATCTAGAAAATATTTCTTCTGAGAAAATATAAAATTTTTCTCCTGAAAAATTCTTCTTACAAAATTATTATTTAATTTTGTGTTTCTCTTCTTGTTTCCCTTTACTTATTCAATCAGTAAATTTTGTTGAAATACTACTACATTCCAAATACTATAATATGGAAATAATTAACTACTAGGCTTTCTTTCAAGGAGAAACAATATTTGTAAACAACTAATTACACTGTAGGATAATGAGTATAATAATAATTGAAATATGTACATGTTATTGGCAGCACAGAGGAAGTTCTCAATTTTGCCAATCTTTAGAGGGAAAGAATTAAAGGATATCAAAGAATAATTCACAGAAGTGACTCTTCAATGAATAGTAAAAGAATCTAAGGAATTTCCAGAGACATAAAGATACCTATAAAAAATAAAATAAAAGCCATCTATGATATATTCTGGAAGTTGGTATAATGTAAATTATAATTAATTATTAAACTTTTAAAAATTGTGTTTTAAAATATAGAATACCAGAAAAGATATAATACCTTTATTTTTAAACATGTGATAATTTGAAGAAGGCAAAGGAATCCATTTTATTTTTATCTACTTTTACAGAATGCAATTTTTATTTTTTATGAAGGTTGGGGAAAAACACTGATACCTCTTGAAATATTAAGTTAATACCTATAGTTTCCACTAATTTTCTATTTACAAAGAACAATTTCTATTAAATACTAGTGAGTATTTAATCCCCTGAATGTAATATCTAACATTTGTAGAGAGAAGGGGCAAATACCTGTGTCTTTGAGTTATATGGTGTATTTTAAATTACTCAATGAATTCTCAAAGTTGTTCTCAGTTTTCAATGTAATGCAAATGTTCATCACATGATTTTCTTTTTTCTAAATAGGATATCATTATTTTCTGGAAGGTTTTTTAGATGCATTGCTATGTGGAAATAGCTCTGATGCAGGGTAAGCAGATAATATATGTGTGTTCCTGTGTATGTGCATGTATATATATACACACACTTATTTTGTCTCTTTTTTGTGGAAACTGACAGATAACAGCCAACTAACTTCATTTATACTAATTTAGTATAATTATGGCTACTTATAAGATGACAATTTACCTAAATATTAACCAAGTACTTACGTTTTATAACTTTTAACTCTAATAATGTTTTTAAAAATAATTTTTAAATTAATTTCAGAAAGGAAGGGAGAGGGGGAGAGAGAGAGAGAGAGAGAGAAACATCAATGATGAGAGAGAATCATTGATTGGCTGCCTCCTACACACTCCACACTTGGGATCATGCCCACAACCTGGGCATGTGCCTAACTGGGAATTGAACCATGACCTCCTGGTTCATAGATCAACGCTCAACCAGTGAGCCACTCCAGCCAGGCTCTATGATTTTTTTGTTAGATGAGTATATATGAGCCAAGAGTTAACTCTGGAGGCTTCCATAGTAGGGACAATGAAAAAGAGATAAAATGCTAATTATTGACAAAAAACAATTTTGTAAAATATTATTAGAAATTCTATGCAACATGTTAATAATGATATCAGTGGCTAGTAAAATTATGTAAAAAAATTGAAAAAAGTATTAGTTACTTATTTATCATATTTGTATTCATTGAAATAGATGATGTTATAACATGCTACCAGAATAAAATAAAACGGCACAACTTCTTGTAAAACTTGCTTTTTCCCCATTACAGTCAATGTCCAGAAGGATATATATGTATGAAAGCTGGCAGAAATCCCAACTATGGCTATACAAGCTTTGATACTTTCAGTTGGGCTTTTTTGTCCCTGTTTCGACTGATGACTCAGGACTTCTGGGAAAACCTTTACCAACTGGTGAGAACCTGAAGCATCACACATTGCGTTTAAGTAGAAGCATAGAAGAAAACCAAGCTAATTATGAAATTCAAACCACAGCACAACATCATAGAAAGGGCACAACTTGAAATCAGGAGATTTGAGTTCCTTTATCTTATTGATTATGACATTTATTAAGCATAGTGATGCTGGGGACAGTGATTCTCTCTAATTCCCCCCGGACTCAGAACTTACTAACCACCCTTCCGAGACACAGCTTCCCAAACAGAAGGCATGCCTTCTCCTTGGCTCCATCTACACCCTCAGGTATTATCTACGTCCCTCGGGTGGCAGGGGATGAAAATTCATAAGCAGATGTAGAAAGATGCTTTTGGTTTCTTCCTTGACGTTCATTGAAGACTCAGCTCCTTGCTGAACCTCTCTGTGGTATTTTACTCGATTCTGTTCTCTTCTTGGTCATTCTAAGAATTCCTTCCTGGAGTTCAACATGGGAAAGCATTAGATAGGGAAGAAGAGGTTAAGGTTAAAGAAATAAACAAAGAAGTGGGAGGGAGTGTGACCATCATTCTTGTGGTGTATGTCAGAACCCTTCAAAATACACAAGTAAGTTGAAAGCTGGGGCCAACAGTGAATGAAATAATATTGAAAACGAATGCTGATGTTGTTGTTTCCAGACACTGCGTGCTGCTGGGAAAACATACATGATCTTCTTTGTGCTGGTCATCTTCCTGGGCTCATTCTACCTGATAAATTTGATCCTGGCTGTGGTGGCCATGGCCTATGAGGAGCAGAATCAGGCCACCATGGAAGAGGCAGAGCAGAAAGAGGCGGAATTTCAGCAGATGCTCGAACAGCTTAAAAAGCAGCAAGAGGCAGCTCAGGTAAATTCATCAAATGAAATATGTCCTGTCTCACGGTGTGATATTTTTTATTGTTATGGTTGTTACAAAAATACTGGAAAGAGACAGATAATTTGATTGTTTTTAAGAGAAGCTGGTAGTAGAGGAGATTAGTAAAGATATCTACATTTTGAGCATCTATGTAGATCCTTTAGTTTAGTCATTCTACAATAAATTGTTTAAAATATTAACCACAATAGAACACTCTGATGCTATTTTAATCAGCTGGATATTTTTAGAATAAAAGGGAAATATGATTTTTGGGTCTTCTCAAGTGAAAGGCACTTACTGAATGGGTATTACTGGCATTTGGAAAAAATCTTAAGAAATCATCTTTTCTTAGAAAAAAACTTTATTGGTTATTTAAAAAATTTATTGGAAATTAAAAATATTCACCTCTTTCTTAGAATATAGTCCATTCTTTCAATGGCCCAAATTATATTGTTTTTAATGTGGTTCTTAATTGCTTTTCTTATGTTAATAAGGAACTCATCAAATAATATAATGTTCTCTGATATAGCAATATCCAATAGCGATATGAAAGTTATCAATTCTATGGTGATCAGGAAACCTAAGGTTTACTTGTTCTTATAGGGAGGTGTCACTATTCTATCATTTTCATCTTTCCTCACTCTTTAGCATACACACTCAGTGTCTTTACCCAACTTGATTGGGTAATATTAATTTATTTGAAGGAATTCCAATAATGAGTATGCTCTGGAGACAGTAATAGTAATCAAACATTGCCAGCTTCTGCCAGTACAAGCTGCAATAAAAAAGCTTTGCTTTGGTCCATGCTCACATGGCCAGCAAGAACCAGTACTGAGCTGAAGCTAGGGACTGTATTGGGGAATTGAATGTTTTGTCTTGCTTGGCAGAAACATTGGCCCTGCCCTCTCTAGTCTTCTGATAGAGCATTAAGCAGGGCTGAGGAAGGGGTTTTACTACCTTCGGTGGATTTTATTGACAATATTTTGAGGATATTGGACAGCCCAGTTTCAATAACTGGAGAGAGGACCTCAGCTCTTATCACATTTTTCCTGCCTTTGGATATGACCTCAACTAACTCCTCAGCTTTTCTCACAAGTGCCAGTTTCTTTTTCAAAGAAAAGAAGACAGTGCTAAGTAAATACCAATTTTAGAGTACATGAAATTCCCAAAAGGACAATAAATATCTGGTTTTGTTCGTGCCTGATTGATCCTTTTGAATATGTGGTTTGTGAAGCAAACACAATAAATATTAGCACAGAGAACACCAAGTTAACTGCAAGCGTTCATTAGGTGAAAAGAAAAAATAACTCCCTCTAATAATTGCAGAGCTGCTTCTATGTTGGATCAGCTTGAGTCAGCCAAATGTATTTTTTAAATGTCATGCAAATAGTTGGGCTATTTTTTAAGAAGATAAAGTCTTCTCTAGTGCCACGCTAAAACCATTTCTCCTCAATGTAGCAGGCAGCCACTGTAACTGCCTCAGAGCATTCCAGGGAACCCAGCGCAGCAGGCAAGCTCTCAGACAGTTCATCTGAAGCCTCCAAGTTGAGTTCCAAGAGTGCCAAGGAGAGAAGAAACCGGAGAAAGAAAAGAAAACAGAAAGAACAGTCCGGTGGAGAAGAAAAAGATGAGGATGAATTCCAAAAATCTGAATCTGATGATAGCATCAGGAGGAAAGGGTTTCGCTTCTCCATTGAAGGGAATCGCTTGACCTATGAAAAGAGGTACTCCTCCCCACACCAGGTATGGCACTACTGAGTTAAATGATGCCCGGATGAAAATGAGAATGCTGAAACAGGGGGAGAGTTAAATAAGGCTTATGAATCTTCATCAACTGAATTGACTGCTATGTTTATTATATTTAAACCCATCCTTTATTCACATAGTTATGAGAAAAATTATACTCCATCTATATGAAAGTCTTACAGCCTGGTGTAGTTGAGACAACACTGAGTTGAAAGTGAGGAGACCTGGATTCTTATCCTAATACTGCCTGCTGCTATTTGTAACTAATGGCATTTAGTAGTTCTGATCATAAACTTTTCAAAATTAAATTTATTGGGGTGACATTGGGTAATGAAATGATATAGGTTTAAGAGTACAATTCTGTAATACATCAGTAAATTGTATTGTGTGTTTGCCACCTCAAGTCAAGTCTCCTTTCATTACCATTTATGCCCCCTTTCCTTGGCTTTTTGTTGTTGTTGTTGTTAATCAACATTGATTTTTAGAGAGAAGGGAAGGAGGGGAGAGAGAAAAAGAGAAAGAGAAACATATATGTAAAAGAGACACGTTGATTGGTTGCCTGACACACGTACCCAGACCGAGGGTGGGGATCAAACATACAACCCAGGTACATGCCCTTGACCGGGAATCAAACCCATGACCCATTAGTATGAGGGCCAATACTCCAACACTTAGCAACAGCAGCCAGGGCTCCTCAGCTTTTGTAATGGGGGAAAAAAGTGGATTTTGGACTAGCTAAGCAGTCTTTTTTATCATTTTATACTGGTCCCCCTCTCTAATTTCTTTATAAAACATCATGTGTGCTTCTGAAAATATGAGTCATGGTATACTTTATCGAAAAGTTCATCAGTCTGATTTCAGAAATGTTGACTTCAAGTTCCAAGATACTGAGCCTTATAGATGAAGCAGACATTATGATTAATTTAAAGTGATTTTAGAAAGATGTACTAAAGTAATTTGTGGAAGGTGATGAAATTCCTTGGGAGGCAAGAGCAGTGAAAACAAAGGTAGCCTTATTACGGCCATGCCACTGATATTTATCCATAGTTTACCATATCCAAAGTAATATTCCCATGAAGTTTCTTTTTCAATTTGAAAAATAGTAGCTCAGGGTTCTGTTTTTCAATATCTTTAAGTTGCAATCTGTCTCCCCTTTCATTAATCTCCAGGACTAGAAACCTTCTCTTACAAAACAAATTTAACTTAATCTGAAAATGCACATAAAATGAAAATGTTATTAATCAAAAGGAATGAATCATGCTCTGTCATGAATGCTAAAATATCCTTCAATTTAATTTTGCAAATTAAAAACACATTTCAAATGGCTCTGTTTATGTAATTTTACTTATTTTTTTCTATTTGGTTCCCAACTTCAGTCTTTGTTGAGCATCCGTGGCTCCATCTTTTCTCCAAGGCGCAATAGCAGAACAAGCCTTTTCAGCTTTAGAGGGCGAGCCAAGGATGTGGGATCAGAGAATGACTTTGCTGACGATGAGCACAGCACCTTTGAGGATAACGAGAGCCGGAGGGATTCCTTGTTTGTGCCCCGGCGGCATGGAGAGCGACGCAACAGTAACCTAAGTCAGACCAGCCGGTCATCCCGGGTGCTGGCAGTGTTTCCAGCGAGTGGGAAGATGCACAGCACTGTGGATTGCAATGGTGTGGTTTCCTTGGTTGGTGGACCCTCGGTTCCTACATCGCCTGTTGGACAGCTTCTGCCAGAGGTGATAATAGATAAGCCAGCTACTGATGACAATGTAAGGAAGTTTTAAACAGTTCAGGCATGGCTGGCCTATTTACCGCTGCACCAGCCAGTGTTTCTACAGAATGGAACCCCTTGAGAATGATTCCTGGTTGGTCAAGCTGTGAATGCACCTGCATCTTGTAATACCTTTATAGACTAACCAACTAAAACTTTAAAGCCTCAACACTCTCTTGCATAACACGTGAATGCACTTACTTATTAAACACGCTAAGGATAAATTAGACACAATCATAAGTTACTGTCTCCAGTTGGAGGATTTTCTATATACCCATGCTGAGCTTAGATAGTAGGGCATCTTCTAATGCCTGGTATAAAAGTGAATGAATGATGTCCATGTTTCAGGGTAAAGGGTGTATAATAAATCTTTCCAACAGAGTCTTCAATATAGCCCTGCTTTAGTGTAGAAGATTTTTAAGAACACTGTGCCTAAATATATAGCTTCATTGTTCTCTGAAAATTTCTAGTACTCATAATTGTCTTACTAAAAAAAATGCTGATATAGGCTTTCTCAAAACATCTTAGTGAAAAGAAACAAATAAATGATTAATACAGACAGGTAAAAATAATTGTCTGTGTTCAAAGGTATGTTATATGTTTGGGATGCATACCCTGCTGATGAGGAATTTCTAAACACACGCTGCCTCATTAGACTATTAACTCACTTGGAAATATATCAGCATGATGAGGCATGACTAAGTCAGTATCAGATGACTTATTGCTTTGGTACCCTGGATGAAACTGTTGTCCATGCAGCATGTGTGTGTGTGTGTTCTTTAAACATACATTTTTGTGTTGTCAATGACCATCTATGTCTTGTGCCCAGAAACTGAGATGGCAATTACATGTGTTATGATCATTTGTATTTCTTTAAAAATAAATGGCTTCCTTTCTCAAAAGAAAATGCCCTAATCACTTACATGAATTTTTCAAGTTGTTAGTTTTTCACTATTAGTTCTAAAATAAAGGTAACTGTTAAATATGTCTCTCAAGAGATTATCAACTATATCTAAATTGCATCATGTCTCATAAAATTATGAAATGAGAAGGTTAAAAAAAACTCAGTGTTTGCTGTATGGCTAAACAGTTGACAGTTTGGACACTCCAGGTTAATTATACAATAAGTCAGCAATATCTGCCATCACCAACTAAACATGAAAGTGCATGATGCATGTGTTTCACGCAACTCACTGTGTCACGCTAGCTGTTTACTTATCGGATTGTTCAAGTTAATTATTTAATACATCAGCATTTTCTTTACAGGGAACAACTACTGAAACTGAAATGAGAAAAAGACGGTCAAGTTCTTTTCATGTGTCCCTGGATTTTCTAGAAGATCCTTCCCAGAGGCAAAGAGCGATGAGTATAGCCAGCATTTTAACAAATACAGTCGAAGGTTTGTAACAAATTCCATTCAATTCATTTTACTAAACTTGTAGTCTCTTATGAAACAAGTATCTCCATTTATGCATTGGAAGCAGTATATTCTGAGGAGAATATAGTAGGTTTTATTCAAGAGTTATTATTTGTTATATCTATTTAGAAGTCCTAGGAGATTTTTAAAAAATTCTTTAAACTCAGTGATATTGGACCTCTAACGAATGTTTTCCTGTGTGTGGAAAATCCTTGAAAATTCAGAATAAGCCTTTATTTTTTTAAAAATAGTTAATATAAGTTTATTTTATTTCATATTTAATCTCTCCCCCCCGCCCCCATTAACCTCTTCTAGCCCACTCCCGACCTCCCCTCCCAGGCCCCCACTGCCTCATTGTCTGGGTCCAAAGATTATGCATATATGCATACAAGTTCTTGGTTGATCTCTTCCCACCTGCCTTACCCTGTCTTCTCTCTGAGGTTCAACAGTCTGTTCATGTTTCTATGACTCTAGGTCTATTTTTGATTATCAGTTTATTTGGTTCATTAGATTCCACATATGAGTGAGATCATGTGAATAAGCATTTCTATTAGGGGTTTCTAATCCCGTTAGTCATAGTGATCTTCTCTTTTGTTCTACTTAGTTTAAGACTTCCAACATCAACCTAAATACTATCAAGATTTCAAGAGAGAAGTAGGTCATTTTTGCAAAATAAAAACAAATTTAAAAATTATTCTTGGCTCATGTTGATCCCTACCCTTTCTCTTATAGCCAGAGGATAATAGCTATGTTTGACACTTGCCCAGCCCATGTTTCCATTGAGACTTCATTTAAAAGATGATTCGTTTAGGTAAAGGTTGAGCCACATTATCAGTATATACAAGAAAAAAACAACTATTCTTTACTATTGCTGCTCTATATGTATGTCTAAAGAAATATATTCAGGAGTCTAAAGAATAAATACTTTAGGTTTTTGTTTTGTTGTAAGTACAAAAGGAGTTGACTCTGAAGCAATGGGAAACATGTTGATTATTACTGAAAAGAAGTCTAGTGGATCTGAAATAAATGTATGTATAAAATGTATGTATAAAATAAATCTTTTGGTGGTGGTTCTTTTTTTTCCAATCTAGAACTTGAAGAATCCAGGCAGAAATGCCCACCCTGTTGGTACAAATTTGCCAACATATTCTTAATCTGGGACTGTTCACCATATTGGTTAAAAGTGAAACATATTGTCAACCTGGTTGTGATGGACCCATTTGTTGACCTGACCATCACCATCTGTATTGTCTTAAATACTCTTTTCATGGCCATGGAGCACTACCCCATGACGGATCAGTTCAACCATGTGCTTACAGTAGGAAACTTGGTAAGATTATTAGAAGGTAAATGTGTTCAGTCTTTGATTTTTTTGTTTGAGAAACTATTTACATTTAATAGTTTATAGCAGTCTTTCCACCACACTTCCTACTCCAGGCTCCCAAAAGATAGAAACTATATCTAGCTGGCTACACTATACATTTTGCCAACAATAATAGCTCTTAATGTCAGAGCAAAAAAAACTGAGAAATGTAATAGGCATAGGACTATTTGAAAAGTCAATATTGATATAGGACTTACAATATTTTTAAGATGCAGAAACAGTTTAAGGACACACTTTTTGAAATAATATTATCTTAGTTTCCCTACCGGTAGAAGACTAAAATAAAATTGTAGATTTTTTTTATCTTACCTGCCCATCATCATTATAAGCAAGAATTTAACCAGTCAAAAAATCTCCAGCTTTCCCACTTCTAGGATCTAGGTAGGACATATATTGTTTTATCCGTGTATTATATATCAAAACTATAAAATATTGAAATTGTCCAGTACATTTTGTGTATTATATGATTAACAAGGCCATTTTAGTTGAAGGTTGTCACTTGATTCTTTCTCTTCTATGCTTAAAAAACATAAATTATTAAATTGTCAGTTGGCTCAACTTAGGAATATTAGCTTTTATTTGCTGAAAGAGAGCTCTAAAGTAATGCATGCATTTGCCATATTTGTTTTGAGATTTAGGATTTTTGATGGTAAAAGCAGAAGATGTAAAATGTACTGCATTGTAGTATTTACATTTTCAAAGCACTAGGGTTTAGACTATGGAAGTAAATTTTTTTTTCATGTGCTTACCAAATCGATAATAGTAATATTATATTATTATAATGATATTACATTATTATATTATTATAATAGATATACATGTTTAATAACTATCTGATTTGAGGGAAATGAGAGTAAACTTATAGATAAGTAAAATTGTTCCTGGGTAAATCTTGTCAGTACCTGTGCTGTATAAAGTCTGGAGTAAAGGCAGTTTGATTTAATGAGTAGAACATTGGTTAAAAATAGATTTGCCCTCAAGTCCTAGTTTTCCCATTTTCCAATTGTATGATACCAGGCAAGTCTTTGACCCCATCTAAAGTCCACTTTCCCCAGCAGTAAGGTAATTATAATACTTGCCGTAGCCATTTGATAAACTTCTGTGAGGCCCGACCAACATGGCTCAGTGGTTGAACATCAACCCATGAACCAGGAGATCACAGTTCAATTCCTGTTCAGGGCACGTGTCATCAGAGCACATGTCCAGGGTGCAAGCTTGATCACAAGTGCAGGGCCAGCAAGAGGCAGCCGATCAATGATTCTTATCATTGATGTCTCTATCTCTCTCTCTCCCTCTCCTTTCCTCTCTGAAATCAATAAAAAAATATTTTTAAAAAACTCCTGTGAGAATAAAATGAATTAATGTCTATGAGAGCCTTTTATAAATTATAATTGTGTAAGCTAACAATAGAATCATTATGGGGAAAGTAGCATAAGCATTTTGTTCTAAGAGCAAATATTGTGTCATTCTACTTTGTCATTATTTGATGGAATTACAGTAATTTTGTTTTGATCTTAGGTTTTCACTGGGATCTTTACAGCAGAAATGTTTCTGAAAATTATTGCCATGGATCCTTACTATTATTTCCAAGAAGGATGGAATATCTTTGATGGTTTTATTGTGACCCTTAGCCTGGTAGAACTTGGCCTTGCCAATGTGGAAGGATTATCAGTTCTTCGTTCATTTCGATTGGTAAAAACAAACAAACAAAAACAGCAACAACAAAATCTTTCCAATAACCAGTGTTTTTGCATAACACTATTATAGATTTGAACACACAACCACTAACATTTTCATTTTGTGTGTAACATTTGCATTGTCAGAAACTGTTCTTAAATTAATAAAATTTCCTCACTTATTTCAAAAAGTGTTTATTGCAAAAAAAGTATAGTCATGTAAGGTTTAATAGATTTCTCAGTTACCATTCTGACTAATTATTGTTTCTAGAGATAACTACAGTCAATATTTCTGGATCTAAAAATATTTATAATGAAAATGTATCCCATTTTAGTAGTAACTTAAAATATAAACACACCTTTGTAACAATGGATGATGATCAGATACAAGATGTGCAGGCAAAAACTTTTTATAATTCTACCTCTGTAAAATTTGCTTCTTCACTAAAATCACAGGAAAGAAAGCTGTAGGGTTATTTAACATGCCCATTGATTCACATATATGTTCTTTAGGGCACGAATTGTAATCATGGGAAATATTCCAAGTTTTAAAATGCAGGCACATCTAACTATGGAAGTGCCTCAAAGGATCATCAATAAATAATAACTACTTTTCTCTACTTATAGTAGAACTCAATATGTTATTACTTTGCATGCTGTTAACAAATAAGTATCAGCAGAAATCATTGCAATTCTGATGTTAATATTAGTGTCAGGCCTATTTTGGCTTATAACCACCTTCACTAAACAAATTAAGCACATTTGGACCCCATATAAGCATTAAACATCTACTCTTAGAGAAAATGATCTACATTGTTAAAATATGTAAGAACCAGATTTTTGTTAGAGGGTCCAAAATTACCCATGAGCCTGAGAGGGTTCAAAGATAGAGCAGATGTTATAACAGACTCAATATTAATCATAATTTCTTGCTAAACCATAATATATATAACGCTCTTAAAGGTTATGATAATTTTTATTTTTTATTTTCCAGCTTCGTGTTTTCAAATTGGCAAAATCTTGGCCAACATTAAATATGCTAATTAAGATCATTGGCAATTCAGTGGGGGCTCTGGGTAACCTCACCTTGGTGTTGGCCATCATCGTCTTCATCTTTGCGGTGGTCGGCATGCAGCTCTTTGGTAAAAGCTACAAAGATTGTGTCTGCAAGATCAATGAAGACTGTACACTCCCACGTTGGCACATGAATGACTTCTTCCACTCCTTCCTGATTGTGTTCCGCGTGCTGTGTGGAGAGTGGATAGAGACCATGTGGGACTGCATGGAGGTCGCTGGTCAAGCCATGTGCCTTACTGTTTTCATGATGGTCATGGTCATTGGAAACCTAGTGGTATGCACCCATTTATGATTTGTGTTTCAGAAATAGATTAAGAGCACAATTGAATGGTGACATTTTATCCAAAACAAAAACTATGATTAACAATTTTGAAAGTCTCTTACCTTGCATATGCTTATAGTCTTATTTTGACAACACAGCAATATAGCAGGAACTCTACAGTTACACTCAACACCACTTTGTCAATTATGTCATCACATTTATTATGTGAATTCCTATACAGTATCATGTTGAAGACAGGCTTAATCGGATAGGTTGGAAACATTCGGAGACAAGAGAAGGAAAAGTCTGGAAAAAATTTAGAGAAAGCCCACTCTTACTTGCTAGTTTAGAACTAAAAAGTGAAGCCTCTAAGTGTTCATACTGATTTTACCATTTTCTTGTCCCTTCATGGCAATAGTCACTCTCTGGATTAGCCAGTTCTCTAGTAGTTCTCAGTCAAAACAAGGATTGACTAATAAGTCCTGAGGTTACCTGAATCGAGTAACTGATCAACTTTTCTCTCTCTTTAAACTTGGAATATTAATTACTTTTTATGGTATAGAAATAGATAATATATTCCAAAGGACATATTCATTAGTGTGTCAGTCTTATGGAAATATTAGGGATAAATAGTTCTCCTAATTAATAAACAGTTCTTCTAATTAGTCAATTAGTTCATTAGTGAGGTATGAAAAAATATAATAGATTAAGAAAATAAGTGTCAATGCCTATGTTAAATCCCTAATTCTCATTCTGGGTCATAATGGTCATATTTCAATTTATGTCTAGTGCAATATAACTCTTTATCAATTAAGAAACCATAGGAAGTATTTAAATTCATAGTTGCAAGCCTTAGTGATTTTTTAAGTTTAGGGCTCTTGTATAAGTACACACATCAATCTGTTTCCTTATATTCACACAGTTTCAAACTTAGCTAAACCTTAAGGCATCTCATTCAACTTCTCATTCTATAAGTGAGAGAACTTGAGACCAACAGAAATCATCTCTTTGCCCAACGATGTATGTGTAGAGAAATAGCTATTGTGCAGGATCAAAAATTCAAATTGCCCAATCTCTAATCACTGCACTTCGGTGTTCCTTTCTTGTCTAGTTGTTAGAACTTATAGTTTCCTCTACACTTAGAGGAATAAGTGATGTTCATCTGCTATTCTTTATACTGGGGTGAAATCATAATCATGTTTATATTATTTTTAAGGTCCTGAACCTCTTTCTGGCCTTGCTCCTGAGCTCATTTAGTGCAGACAACCTTGCAGCCACTGATGATGATAATGAAATGAACAATCTCCAAATTGCTGTGGAGAGGATGCATAAAGGAATCGCTTATGTGAAGAGAAAAATATATGAATTTATTCAACAATCCTTCGTGAGAAAGCAAAAGATTTTAGATGAAATTAAACCACTTGATGATCTGCACAATAAAAAAGAAAGCTGTATGTCCAATCATACAGAAATTGGGAAAGATCTTCGCTATCTTAAAGATGTAAATGGAACCACAAGTGGAATAGCAACTGGCAGCAGTGTTGAAAAATACATTATTGATGAAAGTGATTACATGTCATTCATAAACAATCCCAGTCTTACGGTGACTGTACCAATTGCTGTAGGAGAGTCTGACTTTGAAAATTTAAACACAGAGGACTTCAGTAGTGAATCAGATCTGGAAGAAAGCAAAGAGGTGAGATTTTATAGTTGTGGATAGATAGTTGTGGATAGACTAATAAGTCCTGAGGTTACCTGAATCGAGTAACCAATGAACTTTTCTCTCTCTTTAAACTTGGAATATTAATTACTTTTTATGGTATAGAAATAGATAATATATTCCAAAGGACATATTCATTAGTGTGTCAGTCTTATGGAAATATTAGGGATAAATAGTTCTCCTAATTAATAAACAGTTCTCCTAATTAGTCGATTAGTTCATTAGTGAGGTATGAAAAAATATAATAGATTAAGAAAATAAGTGTCAATGCCTATGTTAAATCCCTAATTCTCATTCTGGGTCATAATGGTCATATTTCAACTTATATGTATATGTATTTATAATTATATATTTCCATCTAGATTTTTTTGCCATCATATAAAGTTTTATTTCACTGAGAAATCAAATATTTAAGACCAGGGAAATAATTGATAAATTGAAGAATAATGTAGTTTTTGTGTGAACTTTCTCATTTTTATTAATGAATATTTGTTAGATGGTGAATAAGTGAATGATCCCAGAAATGAATAAGGGTCATCTGGTTTAATACATATGATAACTTTGAAAGGAATGTGTTATTATTCTGACTTTCAGATAAGAAAATTAGTTTATGTAGCTTAAAGTCATACAACTAATGAGGGGTATAGATGCGAATTAAACTTACAGTCTTTGTTTACAGGGTCTGCATATCTTCCATTGATTCACATTTGTCTCATATACATGGAAGAGAACTAAACAAGAAAAAATATCCTATGTAGATCCTCCAATTAAAATTATAGTGACCTATGTGTTAATCTTCCAGGATGCCATAGAATATGTTGTACACTGCATGGCTTAAGCAACCAAAATATATTCTCTCGTATTTCTGGAGACTGTAAAGTTTGAGATCCAGGTGATAGCAGGGTCAGTGTCTGGTGAGAGTGTTCTCCTGGGGTTGCAGATGGCTGCTTTCTCACTGTGTGCTCACCTGGCCTTTCCTTGACATGCATGTGTGGAGAGAGAAAGAGCTCTGGTGTCTTTTCCTTTTCTTGTAAGAGCAACCACCCTGTCAGGTTAGGACCTCACCCTCAGGATCTCCTTTAACCTTTATCAATACCTCACAGGCCCTATCTCCAAATCCAGTCATTCTGGGAGTTAGAGCTACAAGAACTTAATCATGAGGGCACACAATTTAATCCATAGCAACTTAATTAGAAATATTAAGAAAACTCTAATGGATATGAAAAATAATTCAAAGGAAGTCTAGAATAAAGCACTTTCACTTCCCATTTATTGTGGGGAAATCTCAAAAACAGAAAAATGCTCTCTAGTGTACATGTCTAAATTATTTTATTTTTTTAATTAAAATATATTTTTTTATTGATTTCAGAGAGGAAGGAAGAGAGAGAGAGAAATAAAAATATCAATGATGAGAGAAAATCATTGATTGGCTGCCTCCTGCATACCCCACACTTGCGATGGAGCCCGCAACCCAGGCATGTGCCCTGACTGGGAATCGAACTCTGACCTCCTGGTTCATAAGTTGACGTTCAACCACTGAGCCATGCCAGCCAGGCTAATTAAAACTTTTAATGTTGACAATATTGCAAGTATCTTCCTTTTTCCCTTCCTTTGCCTACCTCAAACCACCTTCTTCCTCTCCCTTGGCCATGGGATTTTTTAACTAATCTCTTCACCTCCTTTATCCAATCACCATCACCCCTCTCCCCTCAGGCACCCACCAGGCTGTCCCATGTATCCATTATTCTGGTTCCACTTTATTCATCAGTTTATTTTGTTCATTAGGATCTACATATTAGTGAAATCATCTGGTATTTGTCTTTCTCTGATTGGTTTATTTCACTTACCATATGCTCTCTAGTTCCATCCATGTTAATAGCAAAGGATAAAACCTCCTTCTTTTTTACAGCCATGTTATATTCCATTGTGTAAATGTGCCATGGCTTTTTAATCCATTCACCTGCTGATTGGCACTTGGGTTATTTCCAGATCTTAACTATTGTAAATAATGCTGCTATGAACATAGGGTTGCAAACATTTTCTGATTGGTATTTCAGGATTCTTAGGATATATTCCCAAGAAGTGGGATCCCTGGGTCAAAAGGCAGTTTCATTTTTCATTTTTGGAGGAAACTCATATTGTTTTCCACAGTGGTTGCACCAGTTTGCATTCCCACCAATATTGCATTAGGTTCCCTTTTCTCTATATCCTTGCCAGCACTTGTTGTTTGTTGATTTATTGATAGTAGCCATTCTGTGAGGTGATACATATACTAAAAACTATATAATACTGTTATGAAAATTATCACCATTTACTCAGTAAGCACATGCCAAGCATTCCCCATGTGTTATCTGGTTTGATCCCTATAGCAACTATGTGAAGTAGGGATCATTTTATAAATTAGAAACTAAAGCTTAAGGAATCAACTTAATTGCCTAAGGTCTATAAGTTATTGTAACTCAAACCCAAGCTTGTCTGACTAACAAGAGAACTAAACGCTTTCAGTAGATACATTCAATATTTGTTAACCAGAGGCCTGACACACGTAGGGTCCCTAGGCCTGGCCAGTGATCAGGGCCAATCATATTCCCTGCCTCCTAGCCTCCCCACCTGCTCCTTTGCTCACTCCCTCAGCACCCAGCAGTAGCAGCTGTTCCCCTGCCATGTTCAACACCACCCCTGGTGGTCAGTGCATGTCGGAGCAAGCTATCAAACTCCCAGTCTCCCAGTCCAACTCCAGAGGGGACAATTTGCATATTAGCCTTTTATTATATAGTACTAGAGGCCCAATGCATGAAATTAGTGCAAGGGACTTGGCCTCCGCCACGGTGGCAGCTGCCTCTGCCTCGCCTCCCGCCATCACAGCTTCGTCCAGAAGGTCTTTTGGAAGGTTATCAGGAAGGTGGTCTGGTCTAATTAGCATATTATACTTTTATTATTATAGATTATGTTATTTAGCTTTAAAAATTAATGTCAGAACACTAGTGACTCTGCTCAATTCAGCAAAATAAATTTAACAATGGAAATTACTCATTTGGTTTACAATTTTGTTTTCTAGCCTAGGAATTACCGTATTTTTCGGACCATAAGACGCACTTTTTTCCCCCCAGAAGTGGGGGGGGGAAAGTCCCTGCGTCTTATGGTCCAAATATAGCCTACACATATACTTTTAAAAAAAAGTTTTTTTACTTGCCTGGCTCTGTGTGGTCTCTGTGTGCTTGCCCGGCTCTAAAATGGTTCTAAATGCTGCTGTTTACTTTACAGGGTTGATTACATGTGTTTATGACTGTGATGTTGGGTTTTAATGCACATAAAATATTTTAGGACACTATTTGTTTCAGAATCTTTTTTTCTTCATTTCCCTTCTCTAAAAACTGGTGCGTCTTATGGTCCGGAGCGTCTTATGATCCGAAAAATACGGTATTGATGAATTTTGCAGAGTTTTTTTGTTTTTTTGGTGTCTAACTTATTTGCATTACAATAATTTTCTGTTGATCTAATATATGATGGAATGTTATGGGTTTTTTTTGTTATTTTAAAGCTAGTCATTGATACAAAAATTCATGTTAAAAAGCATAATTTAAAATATATTAGAGTTTTATTCCTCCACCATCACCTCTACTCTGGGCAAGTATTTGACAATCACTAGATTTCACAATAAGAACAATTAAATATTTAGTAAATGTGAATAATATACTGGAGATTGTCATTCTAACACACAGATTGATGAAGAAATCACATGGGTTTTAGGGATGATGTGGAAATTGACAATATTTAATTTTTCTAACTTCTCTGTGAAAATACTAAATCTCTGCACAGTATTTTTTCCTTTGTTATTATATGAGTATTTTGTTGAGAGTCTTTATTAGAGGCCATTTTAAATTTTAATATGCTTAGTGTACATTGGAAATATTTACTAATGCACAATATACACAATTAAATATTAATATTGTTGAGGTTGTAGAACATCTCATTTATGTATGGCTTACGATTTTATTTATATATATATATATATATATATCTTAAATATATAACAATAGTGAAAAATTCACCTTTAAAATAGTACATGCCTAGCTTTAAAATTAGTATTTTTTTCAAAAACAATATATATAGACACATACATATTCTGTACCCTTTTGACCCCTAAATTCTAAGTTTATTTTTTATATGTTTTTATTGATTTCAGAAAGGAAGGGAGAAGGAGAGACAGAAACATCAATGATGAGAAAGAATCATTGTTTGGCTGCCTCCTGCATGCCCCCCACTGAGGATTGAGCTCAGGCATGTGCCCTGACCTGGAATTGAACTGTGACCTCCTGGTTTATAGGTCGAAGATCAACCACTGAGCCATACCAGCTGACCCCACTTTATTTTTAATATATTTTAGCACGTATTATCAATTGAACTATTAAACCCTATAGATAAGCTCCCCCTAACAAACCAAGTCTAAAATAAAAGCAAAAATATCTTAAGATCAAGTCAGAGAACAAGAAAATACGATTTAATCATGTACTCTTAAAATAATATCACGGAGTATTTTATTTGCTTTACTTTGCTTTCACACTCAGGGTCAAAATCATTTCTTCCATAGCAAACATTTTTAAAAAGAAAAACATGTTGCATAAAGCCACTGAGAAGAAAAATGTTCTTACTATCAGGCTTATAGTTATTAAATGGTAATTGTACGAGGCAAAATGGATGCCTCAGGCACCATGAGTTCCCTGAATTCTCTAGGTTCCCTTGTTACGTCAGCCTGCCAAACCCATGGGGAATACAAGTCAGTGTAGACTGTAATTTAGCTATGAGAGTCATGTGTGGAACTATACCTGTTTTCAAATAAACTAGCTCATTTGGAAGTTAGTAAGTGAAAGGCTGGTTAATGGTTTAGTAAACATTAACATGGGTTTTTCAAATAGTCTATTAATCTAAAAAACTATGAGAACCAGTGGTTTTATTAGGTGGATTTCAAAATAAAATAAAATTATAATTTAAGAACAAAAAAAACGAAAAGTTAATTGGCCTTATTGGCTTTTAAATCAAGAAAATACTTTTTGAGGATGTTTTATTTTACTGTTATTCAATTTAGTTAGCATTTTATTTGAATGTATATCTCATGTAGAAATGGATTCTTTCCACAAATCTTTCCCTTTTCTTTTTGTATAATAGTGTTATTACCCCGATCAAATAAACTACTCAGAGCCACTTCATCTTTTATTTCAATAATGAGAACTATACGAATATATTGATAAAAGTAATGTATAATGATTGTGAGGGTTTTAATAATATTCTTTTAGTCTTTGATAAAACAAAGAAAAATTTAAAAAGGACACTGATAACTTGAATATTATCCTATATAATAAAAGCGTAGTATGCAAATTGTCCCCTTGACCAGGAGTTCATCTGGGAGTTCAACCAGGGGGTGGAGCCAGCCAAAGGAATGGAGAGAGGCCCTGGCCAGCAGCAGTGGCAACAGGGGACCAGGGGAAAGGAGACAGCAGCAGGCTGCCAGAGGGAGAGAGGGAGGCCCGGCTAGTGGTGCTAGTAAATAATAAAAATATGCTATAAGTGTTTATTATCTCAAAAATTATATATACAGAGAATTGTTATTTTCAAGTGCCCATGTTACATTTATGAAAATTAATAATATACTGGATCTCAAAGTAAACCTTAATAAATTCAGAATAGCAGCTACTGTATAGTGTTATTGTCTCCCTAAATTGAAAATAGAAGACATCATGTAGGTTATTATCTAATCACAATGCAGCTAAACTAGAAAGTAATATTGAAAGGACAGAAAAAAATTCTAACCACTTCAAACTTAAAAGATTTGCTCCTAAACAAATATTGGGGCTTCTCTAATCCATAGAGCAGTGGATTGCTTAGTACATGTTTCTGGTGGCTATTTGTGACTTCATAACATAGCAATCTGATCTCACATCTACATTGTGAATTATTGCAAAGAAGTTCATATCGGCAATTTCCCTATTTCATCTTCCTATTCAATCCCACTTTGGTTTCTAAACAAAATCTATTTATTTCAAAGAGAATTCAAAATCAGATTATAGTACTAATCCTTTCTTGTGGGCTTCTTATTAGTTACCAACATTGAAGTGATGTACTAATTATGTCCATCTCATGCACAGAAACTTAATGAAAGCAGTAGCTCATCTGAAGGCAGCACTGTGGACATTGGCGCACCCGCGGAGGAACAGCCCGTGGTGGAGCCTGAGGAAACCCTGGAGCCGGAAGCCTGTTTCACTGAAGGTGAAGAAGATGACCCTCATGCTAATCGTCCATTTGTAGAGTGAAGTTTTGTTTTGTGTGTGCCTGTGTTCAGGTCTTGATCACCCAAAACAGACCACTCAGAACAGGATAGAACTGTGTGGTGAATCTATTTCAATGCCCTCTAATATGCTAATGAATTTTCAGTCTATTACTTTTCAGTTATCTCTGCCCATTATGTAGTAGGAATCATAAGTATGGAGAAAAGTATTTTAATATAATCAAAATTAGTAAGTAATGTTTCATTTTAAAAATAAAACAATTTCACAAGTTGGCATCTTTGTTTTCCCTATGCGTAATAATTCCCATGATCAAATTTTCTGGAGAATTTGAGATTGAAGTGATGAATCTATTTGAATATTCTCTAGTTAGTGATCCCTTCCTCAAAGGCCTGATATCTAATATCTCCCTCTAATTTCTATATAAATTATACACTCAAAGTCCTTCTCAAACTACCTTCATCTGACCATAGTGGGAAAGAGCTCAGCAGCTGTAATCAATTTATCTATTTAATTCTTCTGATAACTAATCATATATTCTTTTATGAGAGCTCTTCTCTCTTTTGAACTGTAATATGTCTCTTCTCTGTCTTTTTTTTTTCTCTCCCCTTCAATCCCTCTCTCCCTTCCTTTCTTTTCCCCCTTTTTTTCCCAGCATATAATACCTAGCTATTTTTTTCCCCCCACTTGAGGCAGGGTTCCTGTGTTTATATCTTTTCTTGAAAACCAGAATGTAATATTATTGGGAGCAAGGTCCATCTTCTTCTCTTTCCCTTTTCTTCTCCCCTTCCTTTCTCCTCCCCTCCCTCCCTCTCTCCCTCCTTTTCTTCCTTCTTTCCTTTCTTCCTTCTTTCCTTTCTTCCTTCCTTCCTTCCTTCCTTCCTTCCTTCCTTCCTTCCTTCCTTCCTTCCTTCCTTCCTTCCTTCCTTCCTGTGTATGTATGTGTGTGTGTGTGTGTGTGTGTGTGTGTGTGTGTCCTCCCTTATGCTTACAAAGTCATTTACAGTTTCCTGAAGATTTAATTTTTATGTTAGAGTGAGTGAAAGCAGTGTAAGAAAAAAAAATGACAAATAAAGCAGGGCCATGGCAAATCACATTTCAGTGAACAAAATTAATTTTGAAAATTATGTAAATTCTTCTAGGACCGCCACAAGAAAACCAAACAGTAACAAACCCAGCATTGTTGGGAGAGATGTAGGTTATTACTCTACATCATCTTTAAAAGATAAGATTTCTGTTTATTATTAATTTGCATTTTGAAGTCCTTTTCTAGTAAGAGTGGGCCCTATAAGACACACAAAATATTTGGATTTGGCCCTGCCAAAGCATTAGAGGTGAGTCAATTAAATATTTGACCAAATATAGCAGGCTAATTTTTAAGTTGATAATTTTGTATGGCCCTGGAATGATGTTATAAATATCCAAATGGCCATTGGCAGAAAAATAATGTTCCCACGCCTGCTAGAGAATTTAACAGAGCGCAATGGGATGATAGAGGAAAAGGCAAAGCTCCTTGACATTGATTTTTACTTTACAAAGTTCCTTCTTAGAGAATAACAGTTGAGTCAGAAAATGCAGATGTTATTAGCCAGAGAACCATTTAAAGAGCCTGAATGATTTTATAACTTTAGCTAATAAATGTGCTCTTACTACTTATGTACTCTCTCTCAGGCTTAGAGAGTTATCCCAGCAAGGTAGAACTGGCAATAGGGAAGAAAAGATGGATCTGGAACATGGCAGAAGTTACTATGGAAGCAGCAGAATTATTTTATCTATTTGAACATTATACTTGCAGGCTGTGTACAAAGATTCAAATGTTGTCAAGTCAGTGTGGAAGAAGGGAGAGGAAAACAATGGTGGAACCTGAGAAGAACATGTTTCCGAATAGTTGAACATAACTGGTTTGAAACCTTCATTGTTTTCATGATTCTCCTTAGTAGTGGTGCTCTGGTGAGTGAATATTGAGCAAAAGTGGCATAATACTAAGTTTTATAATAATCGACTACCGATGACTTATTAACCCTTACTGTTGCATTGTTTTAGTAAATGCACATTTCCCCCTCAATCTTCATTGTACATCCATTTTCATTTCCACAGCCTCAGCTATTTAATTAATCTCTATTATTTCTACTTCTGACTTCTTCCTGAAACATAAATACATTTCTATATCGACCAATCGACCATCCTATCCTTGAACCCATTTCCAAAGCATTTGTAATTACTCCCATTTCATATCTTCCAGACTATAGACTTAATGTATAATTATTTATTTCTGAATTTACTTTTACTATATATGTATAATAAATTATTTAATTTTTGCTTATTCAGTAACCCAAAAAAATTCTCCCTTCAGTTTATTATAACCAAATGATATGAATATTTAATTACTTATATTTTAACAAGAAAAGTAAGCATGGCAGCTTCAGTGAAGTTAATGATAATCCTGTGATTGGGAATTTATAACTTCTAAATCCTGGTGAATTGTTTTTCTGAATGGTATTATTACCGGTATTACTATTTCTTTATGAACAGTCAATAAGTCCTTAGGAACCACTTCTCTGACCCTTTTGAATTGTGTGACTATTCTTATGTTATTCAAGAAACAATGAATATTGGTGACAAATATTGGTCAGTGTGCCTAAGTGATTCATTTAAGGATTGGTTTCTCTTTATATGATGACTTCCTTTACATCAGAATCAATTTACACTTATATAAAAATAAATTACAAAAACATAAACTGTAACATATACATAGCATTTCAGAAAAACACTAACTCAAATGCAATATTTAAGCCATTAGAAAGAAGATAGATGATAGATGATAGATAAATAGGTAGATAGATGGATGGATCTTAACGTTTCTTACACTTAAGTTTATAATTAGAATATAGTCCTATATTTTTTGAATATTTCTCTGATAAAATGAATTTCTCTATATGCTACTAAGATAAGAAATAATATTTTAATATTAAAATAAATGTGAGACTTATATGTGAAATATCAAGAGAGGTTCCTATTAGAAGAATATATTGTGGTCTCAATAAGAAGTAATTTTATCTAAATGAGAAGTAATATAGACTAGAAATGTATCATAGACTTTGTCTCTGCTGAGAAATATAAACTATAAACAAAATGAAGGGGAGAAGGGACAAATGAACCAAACCATCAACTAAAATTGGATAAAGTGATTATGAGTTACAATTCTACTTTATGTAAACTATAAGTTTTACTTTTTATTTGTTCAACCTCCTTTCAATGGCAAAAAGCCAACAAAGGGAAGCAAAAGAAATCAAACAAAAGGAGTAATAACTTCAAGCTGGGGTAGTACTATCAGGATATGACATCAAGAACTATTTTCTATTAAGTCAAATTAATTCATAAAATTTACTTTTTTTCTTTCAGCTATAGTATAAAGAGAGATAATAACTTTTCCCTTGATATTTAAAAGAAAAAAAAGCAATAGCTATTGTTCATGTGTCCTACTATTCCAATTAAATATATATATATTAGTGGCCCGGTGCACAAAATTCATGCACATTAAAAGGGAATTCATTAGAGGGGGTGGGGACATAAGTCTCACCTCCCTGGGCCTATTGCTGGGGTCGGGGACTCGAGCCTCATGTCTCCAGGCCAGCAAAGGGGGTGGGGATGCAGGCTGCTGATCAGTCATTTTGTGATGGCATCCTGTCCATTTGGCATATTATCCTATAGATATGTATATACATATATATAAGATTTAAAAAATAGCTTATAGAGTACAATGATTTTAGAAATCTAAAATGTATGACCTTTTCATATAGGCATTTGAAGATATATATATTGATCAGCGAAAGACAATCAAGACAATGTTGGAATATGCTGATAAGGTTTTCACTTACATCTTCATTCTGGAAATGCTTCTAAAATGGGTGGCTTATGGCTATCAAACATATTTCACCAATGCCTGGTGTTGGCTGGACTTCTTAATTGTTGATGTAGGTATTCTCCATTTCTTAGTCTGCCATTTAAGGTAGTTTGTCTTATGGATATGCTAATTCTAAAATAGGGAGTCTCTGACCACCATGTTGTGTTGATGGGATGTGCAGCTAATCCTTAAATAATTTGTTGAATGTAACTGTTGTTTTTGTAAGAATAGGTTAATTCAGTAGTGATTTAGCATTGGAAGGATGGGATTTATGGTGATTATCTAGGAAAAAGCTGGACATAAAAAAAAACAGTACTTTGTAGGGACAGTGGTAAAACTGGGCATGTTTAAATTTCTGATGTTGTGAATCAGGCACTTGGGCTTGAATATCAACCCCACTTCTACTTGTTTGTATGCCAGTGAGAAATGTACTTGGCTCCTAACTCTGTAAAGGATGATATTAGTACATATAATCTTAAAGGCTCTTGATAAATAGTCATGATGGTGGGAGCTCCTGTCAATTTTTAAAATTCTCTGTGATCTACTCAAAGTTTTTAAAGGGTAGGCTTAAAGAGTATATAATATGGCTTATAACTTCATTATAGGAGGTAAGGTACAGAGTATAGGGAGAATATATTTCATGCAGTGATCAGAGTTCCCTTAAGTCCGTGGTTGGCAAACTGCGGCTCGCAAGCCACATGTGGCTCTTCCACAAAATAACACTGACTAGGCGAGTCTATTTTGAAGAACTGGCATTAGAGGAAGTTTAAGTTTAAAAAATTTGGCTTTCAAAAGAAATTTCAATCTTTGTACTGTTGATATTTGGCTCTGTTGACTAATAAGTTTGCTGATCACTGCTCTAGAGCCTAGACTATAAATTAGTAATGAACCAGACCTTCATAGATTTCCACACATAATGATTAATATTTCATTTGCCCTAAAAGAAATTATTGAACTAAAATTTGTTAAAATTAAACATCATGTTTCATATTATCAGTTTGGCATAATTTCAGCTTTACAAAAGTGTATCCAAAATATCATAGATTTCATAGGTAATGGTTTTATCCCAAAAAGATAATCCAGCAGAAAGATGCAGGCTTCTTGTGGAAAGTATTTCTAGGTTAAGAGTCCTGCATATATTATATCTTCTTAATTTTAAACAAAGGCAAAGCCAGAGCTATTTGAAAAGCTTAATAATGTTACTATGAAATTAGTAAATTGAGAGAAAACCTCAAAAGAATTGCTTCATCATATCATAGAGATAAATTGTTTCTAATATTGAGGTTTCAAACATTAGAAGTTATATTTCAACTTCCACAATTATTACAAGTTGGGTTTTAATCATCATCTATGATATACTTTAGGAAAATAATTCTATAAAGCATTTTGTTGTTTTTCAATAATAATACTTTTATTTTCCAATGTTCTCTTTTCATTATTTCATAAGGATTAGCAAATAACTCTAAAAAAACCAAAGGAATTATAGTAAATCTAAACTAATATAAAAATTATAATAGATATAAGGCAACTTAATTCACTTAAAGATAGAAAATTTTACAAAAACAGTTTCCAGTGTATTTAGAATTTGTCCAATACTAGCCATTTTCAAATGAATGAAAACTGTTTGGACATGGAGTTTTGGTAAATCTTTAGAGAATTAGACACCTAACATTTTTATTTCTTAGTCTTTGTATATAAATTTATTTAGTTAGTTATTAATAGTTAGTTAGTTAGTTGTTTGTTTGTTTGTTTGATAAATATTGATTGGCCATTTTGGACCAGCAGAAGCTGTAAATTAGTATAGAAAAAAACAAAACTGAGTTTCATAGTGAAATAACATTTTAAGTTATTTTTTAAGTAAATATAACATTTATGAACTTTAAACAAGTGAAAACACAACGCATTAGCAAGACAAAGCATCCCCTTCCAAAACTAAACTGCAAAATCAATGTGATTTAGCACCTTAATTTAGGAGCATATCAATTATAGTTAGGTGAACATATGAATGCAAGATAGAGATTTCTTGCTTTTTCTGATACAATAGCAGTTTTTGTATTTTATTTAGCCATAGGCAAAACCCTATATTCAGCAGTGACTTAATAAAGGAAGGATAGCCAATGGCATTTTCTTACACTTAGATGTTTTTCTTTGTTAAATTAATTTTTATTTAATTTTTAAAAACTAATTGATCTACTAACAAATTAATTGAACAATTAATAAATTACATGACATTTGAGATTTTTTATTCAACTAACTTTTAATTAACATTTTAAAAACTACTTTTTTCATTAAACTGAAAATATTTCCTTAAAATTTGTAAAGGTTTACTGAAAATATACAACCATTTATCTTCTGAGTAATTATAAGCAAGATCATATTTGTTGAATGACATAGTAACTAAAAATTGAATAACAGTTACCTTTGTTTGTTTGTTTATCGGTGTAGGTTTCATTGGTCAGTTTAACGGCGAATGCCTTGGGTTACTCCGAACTTGGTGCCATCAAATCTCTCCGAACACTAAGAGCTTTGAGACCCCTAAGAGCTTTATCACGATTTGAAGGGATGAGGGTAAGGAAACGGAAAGAACCAGAAGTATTGCCTATAGCCAAAATTAAATTATACTGAATTTTAAAAAGGAAGAAACAACCATGCATGCAAAGGAATGGCAAATCCTTGCAAAGTTGCTACTTTATCTTTTTATCTGTTGCATATTAACTTCTAGGTGATATGCAAGAGAATTTAGGCCACCCTTGAAATGATACAATATCATTTATCTGCTGTGCTTATAAAAATGACTTTATTTCCTAAATCTATCTTGGGAGTTTCCTTACAAACCTGTATACAAAAAAGCAAATGCACTATTAAAAGTACTGTGTAATGATATAATAATAATCAACTAAAGTGAATTTGACATCATGTGCTTCTCATTGTGATGATCTAACCTGTACTTTGAGTTTTATTGAAAATAATATGAATCACACATGTGCCTAAGAATAAACATAAAGGAAAAAATAAAAAAATTGACAGAATTTTGTCTGTATAATGCCAAAGCTTGCATTATTATAATATATTCAATGGTAGATATTGAATATTGACTAAATTTTAAACTTTTTAAAAAGTTATATTTAATATAGCCTCAATTTATAATTGCATTAATCTTAATTTTTATAAATAGTAATAGTAACTTAAAGATTTTACATATAAATCCACCCAAATTTTCTTGACAATGTGGTAAAACATACAACATAATAAACAAAAAATGTAATTTTGACTCAGAACATAGATGATTTATAAATTAACCTAATTTAAATATCATTTATCAGAATTACAAAAAATTTTATATTACTTCCTCTTAGGAAATACTAAGCAATTCCCTATGGTTCATTACAAATTAGAAATTTTGCTGTTATTTACTTGTTAATTTTCCAAACCTTTTTTAAAAGCATGAAGTATTTATATATAAGATATATAGCACAGAAAGCAGTTATTTATTAAGAAATAAAAAAAATTTAAATATGATTTAATGATTTTTTACAGAGAGAAAAAAGGGAGAGAGATAGTTAGAAATGTCAATGAGAGAGAGACATCAATTAGCTGCCTCCTGCACATCTCCTCCTGGGGATGTGCTTGCAACCAAGGGATTGAACTGGAATTGAACCTGGGACCCCTCAGTTCACAGACTGACGCTCTATCCACTAAGCCAAACCGGTTTTGGCTAAAAAAATAAAAATTTTTAACCAAAACAAAGATTTTTAATTAAGTATGATTTAAATAGAAAAATATTGCTCTTTTATTGACTAGGATTTAGTTATGTTTGTAGAATCTAAGCAGACTTGTCTATTTCCATTTGCATTTTATAGGTTGTTGATAGCCTTATAATATGTTCTTCTAAAATAAAATTTATTTTAAATGTCACTTTTTAAGAACTTAAGACTTATCTTCAGTTTCCCTAACATATATAAATAATTCCCTCATTAGAAACAATTTAACATAATATAATATAGTCTTATTTTATTTCTCACAGAGATTCTTATGTTTTTACCAAAACATTAAAGTCAGTTCTCTCCAGGGTATGTAAAAATTAGATTTATTTTCCAATTAAATATCATTTTCTATTGTTTAATTCGGCCAGTGTCAGTTCTGGAGAAAAATATTACTTTAATACATTCTACTTGGAAACTTGTCACCTGAATCAAACTATAGCAGTTCTCTTTTATTTGAGGTTTCACTCCATGGTTTCAGTTTATCCATGCTCTGAAAATATTAAATAAAAAATTCCAGAAGTAAACAACTCATACATTTTTTAATTGTGTGCCATTCTGTGTGCCATTTGTGTGCCATTTTTTAATTGTGTGCACACACTTCAAGCTATGTCTCTCCCAAGACATGACTCATCTCTTTGAATAGTGAGATAGTCACTTAGTAGCCTTCTTGAGTACCAGACTGACTGTCACAGAATCACAGTGCTTGCGTTCAACTAACCCTTACTTTGCTTAATATGACCCGAAACTCAAGAGCAGTGATGCCTTCCAGGGCATGTTTCCTGTCAGTGGAAAGGCCAGGACAGTATAGTAAGCTAATTTGAAGAGAGAGACCACATTCACATAACTTTTATTACAGTATGTGGTTATAATTGTTCTATTTTATTATTAGTTATTGTTGTTAATATCCTATTGTGCCTAATTTGTAATTTAATCTTTATTCTAGGTTTGTATGTATAGGAAAAAAAACATAGTGTATATGAGGTTTGGTACTACCCATAGTTTCAGGCATTCACTAGGGGTCTTGAAATGCATCCCTCCCAGATAAGAAGGGACCATGAATCAAATGGAAATTGACCATGAATCAAATGGCCAGAGAATCCCATATTAAACATGTTATTTTTGTAACAATGTTGGTCTTGTACGTCTACATGCAATTTTTATAGGAATAACCTTACCTATACTTTTTGATCAATGAGGCTTTTTACAATATAAGGAGAGATTTGTTTTTGAATCTTGGAGTTTCAAAAGCATAAACTCCTTATAAATACTGATTGAAGATGAACTAATCATTTAAATTAACAGATTTATGATATGGGTTCCTTGCTGGTTCATAACGACAGTATATACACCGCCCTAAAATGGCTGATCATTTCAGTGTATATTTGGCATTGTAGAGACAAAATAATCTGATTACAGATTCTGGGTTTTTTTTGTGTTTCTAAGTGTTTGGATCTTTGACTTTTTTAAAAATGTAATCAAGGATGGTGGTGAGAATGGAGATAATAATGATAATTATAATTGGGAAGTGAGATTTGAATATACGTAGAAACTCTCATTTTATTCTTTTTCCTAGCGGCATAAAATCACAATAGCTGTGTAAAAGCGTAAATCAGCCATTCATTTTCTTTTTGTTGTCTTGTCACATCTCCGAAGCATGTGCTTTTATGCGACATTACCAAGTAAAGCATGTTGCACAATGCTTGATAGGAAGTTAGAAAGTAATAAACAAATTATCATCACGTTGCTCTTTATGTTTTGCATGTTTTATGCACATTTTGGCTGAGAGCTTTTCAACATTTATTGTATTTCAAATTTCCAGTCCAAATTTTTCAACTTGTAAAATTGAACTGAGTGAATTGATGTCGTAACTATCTAGAGTAAAATAAAATTTGTACTTAAATTTGTGTTTTTTAATTTCCTAATCTAGGAAATGGTAAAGACCTTTTTCAAATAACTCAAGTCTTGATTGATAGGGAAACAGACAGAGAGCATCATAAAAATAAAAATAAAAAAGTAACACCAAATGTTCTGTCATATCAGATTTCTAACTAATAACAAACTATATATTTCTATTTTATATAGGATAATCTTGCTCCAACTTGGATGGGGTGGAGCGCTGGTTCCTCCCCTCAGCCCTTTATTATGGGTACTGTATTACCCCTTTTGCTACCTTTCATCCTTTCACTGTGACTTTGTGTAGTGGGTGAGGGAGGGATTGGGAAGGGTGCCACAGTAGGGAAAATATAGTATTTACATTCTAATTCCCAATTTTTAACTGTCTTGAACTTCCTTTTGAGAAAAGTAGCTTTGAGTATTTATTTACCCTCTGGATTTGAACCCCAATTGTTGATATTTTTATTGTATCATTGAATATACTTTAGTTATGTGTATATTGAGCTATCTATTGATGGGGAGATTGACTGATTGGTGATGGTGGGGGACCTTGGTTTAAAAGGATTGGGTGAATATTTTAACTTGTCAAGTTCATGATGCTCTTTGAGACATAAAACCCTTGGCATTTTTTGCATTGGTCTGGGTCCTGACATTTGCCAGCAGTTGATTCTTTGCCTTGTTGACTTACATGAGCAGATGTGAGGGTACAATATTTCTGGTTTCTTAAGACTGGTATTGATTGTGTGACCATTCTCACTTTTTTATTAAGTGTAAGTTTATGGGGTTACTTTAAAAATGTAACAAGGCAAAAATATATTATGAAAGAGTTGAGTAAGCACATGTGACATATATTTTAAATGAAACTTAATATACAAGGACTTTTTTGAATTATGTAGACTAATACACCCACCTAGAAATCAAACAAAAATGTCTTAGTCTGTGTATTAAGATAAGATCTTTAAATTAATAAATTTAAATTAAATATTCATTAAATTTAGATGTATTAATTAAATGAATTTAATGCATGAGCTCACTCTTAGAATAAGTCACTTCGATATCTTCTAAGATACAACTAACTGCTTAGGATCTTAGAGGACATCACAGTAAAAACATAAATAAAAATAAATCTACATTTTATGTATTCTTAAAGTTTATAAATAATGTACAAGGAGGAGAGTTTTGTTTTTTGTTTTTTGAGGCAGAAAAAAGGTTGGAGTATTTGAATGGATAATTGATATATTATATCCTCCAAAAATAATTACCTTAATTAAATTCCACAACAAATATAGGCATTAGATTTTAAAAAGATTATATGACTCCTCTTCATACTTAATAATGTGATTTCTACTTTACCTACTTTTATTTTTTATTCACATAGTTATTTTGTATTTGGATTAGAGAAACATTAGAATCCATGAGTAGTATTGATTTCAAGTTCAAAGGCAATTCATTCAGATAAGAGGACATTTCTTCATGTATCAAAATCTCTCACATTAATTAGTATATTTAATTGTCAATTCCTTGTTTCATATTGATTTAATCAAAACTGCAGATAAGGGACCAAAAATAGAGTTTTTATAAGAATGGGTTGTGCCAGAATAGTGAAATTTGATGATGTTTTACAAAACATTTGTGAGAAGAAGCAATCTCTAATGTTAATTCATTAAAACAATTCCTTTATTAGATATCTCATTTTACATAGCCTGAAACCTCAAGCAATTCCTTTTAATGTATTCAGGTTAATGCTGCCTAGAGCCTTTATCAAATGGGAACCAATTACTGCAGTTCCCTGGCGGCTAAAAAGAGTTAATACACCCCCTTCTGTGCTGAACCAAGAACTGCTAGAGAGGCTCTTGGGAAAAGACAGCCCTTTCCCTCCCTGCTTCTTTATTGCCTAATTTAATAAAATTTTGAATATGAATGGACCTTTGTATAGTAAATCCCCTAATACTAGTGGAATATTTTCTTACATATAATTATTTTACCTTCATAAAAATAAACATTTTATCTGGGCCAAATGTATGCCAATATTGCAATCATGTCTGAAAGGCACTGCTGCAGAACACTTGTACCATAAATTCCATTGGGTTAATTGTAATGCCAAACAAGTCCCCTTTTTCAAAGTAAATCTTTCAGACATATTAACTAACCCCCAATTTTCTGTTGCACCTAGCTCTTTATTCTCATTCCATATCCGCAATGAGCATTTAACAATTATGTTTTGATCAGCAAATGCTAAGCTAAACTTCATTCATTCATTCAATGAATCATTTTTGTATTCCTTTATTCAAAGCACTCTGTTATATTCCTATTTTCACAGCATTCAAGGCCTTAGAGAATTCACAAATATATTTTTCATCTTAAATTAAAAAAATAAAATAAAAAGCATATCATCATTGAGGGTTATTAGAATGTAATTAACTCAAATGAAGAGCAATATGAGTCCCAGATAAGTGCAAGAACTCTAAGGAGAATTAGTGAAGTTGAGTGCAAAAAGCACTAGATGGTACTCCTTTCTGAACTTGACTTACCTTAGCCTCATACTTCTCATTGACCAAATGAGAACATAATACTAAATTATTTCTATGGCCTGGACCAGCACTGGAATTCTAATTCTTGAAGTCAAAAGTGGAAACATTCACCTTTATTTTGGAAGCTAAACTGAGCGGGTAAAGTTAGGATCCATTAAAAAAAAAATGCTGCTTGAAATAAAGCTTGGGAGAAGAAAGAGTATATTTAAGTAAAGAGGATTTTGGACAAGAAATGGCAACTCAATTCCAGGGGAATTATATTAGTTGGATTGCCATGAAGAGTAGGTGGCTAGTGAATTTAAAACTAGAAATGTAGATTGTAAAGTATTTTTAATATCAAGGTAGGGAAATTTTTTATAATGAGTGGGAAGCCATTAAATAATTTTAAAGTGAGACTTGGAAAAGATTAATTCATCTTACGTGGATCAAAAGAAGGAGAAATTAGAAGGCTCTAATGCTAGTCCAAGTGTAAGCTCTTAGAGGCCAGAACTAGAATGGTGGAGGTGAAAATAGAAAAGAAGTAACAGAGATGATAACGGTTTTGAAGAAGTATGACATCTATAGATTGATATGAAAAGAAATAGGTATAGGTAACCAGTGCTCTGGTCATGCTCTAAATTGGCTGTTGGTTTAAAAAAATACACATTTTAACATGTACTCTCTGGTGTACACAATAGAAATAGCTTTTTTATCTGGATGGTAGGCAAAATATTTAGAAAAAAAGAGGCAAATAAATAATAACTTGATTTCAGCTTTCAAATTTTGAATCCAAGAGAAATCTAAGTGTATCCATATTTAAAATAAAGTATAAAATAAATATTTTCCAATGAATTATATTAATGCGGAGAGCCAAACAAGGCGAGATGCCATGTGTCAAGGAGAGTAGGCTGCATAGATGACATCATTCGGATCTGCCTAGATAACTCAACTGATTTACTTTTTCATGTTCATGTCTCCACCTTTGTCATTTGTGGTTTTACGGTATCCTTTGGCCCACTTATTACACTATTTTGTAACCCCAGAAGGCCTACAAGTTATTTACAGACTTTAATAAATAATTAAATAGCAAGGGTTCAGAAGCATCTGAAATTTGCTATGTTTTTTCAGAAACTTTGTTCTAAAAATAGACTGATATCATATGGAGGATAGAGCATATTTAGAAGCCTATTGTTTGCTTTGGATCAGATTGACAAGAACAGTTGAGATTCATAGGTAGAATTAACTTAGCTATTAATGTTCAAGTCTGAGGTGCCATCTGCTACTGAAAAGCATTTTAGGGGCTGCTTTATTTTCCCTCTTAGCTACTCATATACAGTTCCAGAGGGAACTGTGGAGGAGAAAGCAAGGACAGTCACCTCTACAATGCTGCCAAATATGAAAACTCAGATTTTGAATTTATGATAAAGAAATAAAGACAAGGGGAGGAAACATGTTTCAGTAGGAAAGAGTAGATAATTAGCACAGAACCTGATGTAATCACATCAGATTTGGGAACTATATATGGCATCGTTTCTTATTTTCCTAAGAAATTGATTTCTATTATGTTTCATTTAAAATAAGTTTATTGAATTAAACTCAATAAATGAAACAACTGACATGACTGGAGCTTGAAATAAAGATGTGATGATCTAATGAAATACATAATGCTAAAGTGTCTTGCTTCTTCTGCAAAAATTATTAGTCATAGCAATGCATGAATAATTAAGGACAAAATTATGTTAGGTATTTAATATTTTATACTTATATATCTTAATTTTTAATTAATTAGAGTATATTCATCTATTCATTCAAATATTTTAGTTTTGTTTTTTAATATATTGCCTTTTTTTAATGAGTTAGTCTGTATTAGGATTCCCTACTTTTTTTTAATGATTTTTTTCCTTAATAAATAGCACATATTCTGACTTCCTCTGGCAGCAAATCCTCTAATTTTTCTTTTCCTTTAACTTTTGAGTACTTCCCCTTCTCTATTTTTAAACTTTTTGTTTCTTTGTCATATTACTATATTTGTTCCCCTAAATGTATTGCTTAAGAAATAATAGATTTTATTGTAAAATTGTTTTATTTTACTTTCCCAGTATAGACTCAATAGTGAAAAATTAAAGACTGGTAGGGGGTGTCTTATTTTTTTAAACAACAAGAATTCTGACTTCTCTTTTTTTCCATTTGTGTATTAGGTGGTTGTGAATGCCCTTTTAGGAGCAATTCCATCCATCATGAATGTTCTTCTGGTTTGTCTTATATTCTGGCTAATTTTCAGCATCATGGGTGTAAATTTGTTTGCCGGCAAATTCTACCACTGTATCAACACCACAACTGGTGAAATATTTGATATCACCGAAGTGAACAATCATTCTGACTGCCTAAAGCTAATAGAAAGAAATGAAACTGCAAGATGGAAAAATGTGAAAGTGAACTTTGATAATGTAGGATTTGGGTATCTCTCTTTGCTTCAAGTTGTAAGTGAACACTGTTTTTCTCTGAAATTTGTTTATTGTTTAGAATAATAACAAAGTAATTACATATATCCATTATTTAGCTACTAAAGAAGAAAATTTATTATATAACATTTATTTTTTCTAATTTTGTTTCATTAGTACCAGTTTATGAGCCCAAGTGGGTGGAAACTCTATATATTTAAGCAATACAGACATAGTTAATGGTGGGCAGGTATTTCAGTTCATTCCAAAGGTCTTTTTCTCTTTCTCATATTGCTTTCTCTTCCCAAGTGAAAAGGTTGATTAATACAATAAGTTTATTATTTTTTCTACTGCAATTGAAAAGCTTGTTTCAATGAGGGATCACCTCCTCACCCTCACCCCCTACCCTTACACACACACACACACACACACAAAAGCACACAGAGTCAATACACCTGATTAGACTGACTCTGGAGGGCATTAACTTGAAGGTTGGGGAATGATATTTTGGTTTTAGGATCAGATTCTCACAATGAAATGGAAATAATACCAGATAATGCCTGGATACAGAAAAGCAGCATAAGCAGCTGTTGTTACTCCTCAAATGACCTTTCAAACAATTACCTAAGTCTATTTTATCTTAACAGTAATGTTTTCACTCCTGGGTCTCTAAGACTGGTTCACTCAAAATAATAATATAATTTATGAAAATGCAAAAGATGGTGGCCCTTTAAATATTTTCACATGATGCTGCTTATAGCTGCAGCTGCACATCAACAAAGCAGTGAATAAAGGCCGTGGAAATGCCACTTAAATTTTTTTAAAGTTGTATAAGTTCTCCCCTTGTGATTTTACAGAGTTCTTAGGGCAGAAGTTTATTTCTTTTCATCAAGGTTATGATTTCAGTTGTTCAGCCTGAAGACCAGACAAACAAACCAACCTTCACTGGTCTCTTGCATCTCTTTCAGCGGTGTCTGTACTACTATTTTTTACACATTCTTCCCACCTTGTTAGAATTCTTATTGCTCTTGTGGATGTTGCTGACTTATTCTGAATGCTTATGCAATTAAAATAAATTAAAATAGGAATTTAAAAAATATGGTGTGTATGATTTATTTAAATGTTACAGTAGACACATGGTATTTCCTTGGGCATTTAGCCTAACTGTTAACTAATGGCCACAGTTGTGAAAGTGTCTCGCTTCATAAAATTGAGAAAATAGAATTTAAAAACTTCAAGTAATTCTTTAAAATAATAAACAATTCTGAAAATATAGAATAATGATCCTGCACAAAACTATAAAATAAATTCTGCTCTTTAATAAACTAAGTTTTATACTTAGCTTTAAACAGAATTGCCTCTCTGTTGTTTAGTAATTCACTGAAGTGGTTCCTTGAGTCACCTTTCTCTGTTTATGTTCCCATTGTGTAATGGACATCTTCTGTCATTGAACTCAACCATTGATACATTCAATATTTCCCTCTTTGGAATACAAATAACTTCTATTTTCTAGCTAAAAGTCATTTAAAAAATATATATTTTATTGATTTTTTTACAGAGAGGAAGAGAGAGGGATAGAGAGTTAAAAACATCGATGAGAGAGAATCATCGACCAGCTGCTTCCTGCACACCCCTCTACTGGGAATGTGCCCGCAACCAATGTATATGCCCCTGACCAGAATCAAACCTGGGACCTGTCAGTCCGCAGGCCGCCGCTCTATCCACTGAGCCAAATCGGTTTCGGCTAGCTAAAAGTCCTTTCATGATCTTCACAGCCATCATACCCATATGTGGCTTTCTTCCTACAATACCCACCACTTCAAAAGTGTCAGGGTTATGAAAATATGTGTATTGTGTTGCAATACAGATGCTGAAAGCTTAGTTGAAATTACTAGCTAACAATCCTCTCAGGCTAATAGCTCAAAATTTATTTCCTGGGACAAATAACAAATTGCTATAAGCTATTAGACTCAGGATCCTTCTTGAATTTATGAATGCCAAGTGTCTACTGTACCTTTTTCCACCTTTCTTACCCATATTAACTCACTCTCCTTAAAAAATTATAGAGAAGAATGGATTATTTCTGGATGTTATATTCCAAAATTCTTAAAAGAATAGTTGCAACTCTGATTTTATACACAGGGATGGGCAAACGTAGGCTAAGAATTGTAATACAAATAAATAATACAAGAAAAACTTTCATACACTCACAACTGTAAACCTACTTTTGCCTATTCCTGTATATCTGCACAATCTTTAGTGTTACACAAAAGAGAAATCTTAAACTTTTGGATATTTTGCTCACCTTACAGATAGATTTCAGCAGATGATCATATCATTGTAATTGTTTTGCTGCTACAGACATTGCCAAATGTGGTGGTATTTGCAAAGCTTTCTAAAAGTATTCTACCAAATTTTGAGAGCACTTTAAGTTGTATGATTTCATTAACTCTAAAGAATTGAGAAATATTTGTGATTTCTCAATCACAAATATCACAAGTATTTGATATCTAATGACCATTTTGTTCATTATGTGTTCTAGAAGTGAAAAGACTTACTAAGATATTGTGTTGGTCCAAAACCCATGTCAGATTTGTTTTGAAAGTCTTTTGGAAAAGGTTTCTTTGTAAAAAATACATGAGTGAGAATATTTATTATAAGTTAGAGCTCAATTATTTGTATGCCAAAGTAAAGCATGTGTGTCCTTTTTTATAGGCCACATTTAAAGGATGGATGGATATAATGTATGCAGCAGTTGATTCCAGAAATGTAAGTATTTTGTAAATATTGTCTTTGATAATATTTGTTAGGTGCTAAAATTAAATCAGCAGAGTACTGCAGCCAAATGGAATGATTTATTTAAAAAATAAAGAAAAAAGTTTGACTCACATTAATATTCAAGTATGTCAATGTTTATAAAAAATATCTTACAAAGATAAATCAAAACTATTTTAAGAGCAAACTAAATTAGCATATTGATATAGTTAATAACTAACAAATATCTTTCTATTAAATATTTCCTATTTTCTCCTCTTACCTACTAATTGTATAATCAGTAATAATTTTGGTGTGCAAGAGCAAATGTGAAAATATATGTGATTGCCAGCTACTGTCCAAATAGCAAGCGGTTGAAATATATAGTTACTCCCCATATTGAATGGTATGAAAGTTTGAGATGTTGTTGTCCAGGCAACCTTAAATTTGTATAACAGTTCCTTTCAAATTAATTCTTTTATTTTGTTTTAGTATCCATACTTTAATAATGCTGTTATCACTTCTACGGCCAACAGATACCTTTAAGACTGTATATCACCAAAAGTAAAGACCTTCTCTACTTGATTTTTTCTACCACAACTTTTTTCTAGCCTCAAGAAAAGAACTAATATCCATGCTCCTTTCAACTCAAGTTTTGCAAAATTAAGGTTTTTCTAAAAGCCTTAGTTTTTTATTCTGAAGCCCAATCTGTTTAGTCTATCATTACAGACTGTCCCGATAATCTTTAAACTGACTCTGTATATAGCTCACTTTTATCTTTCTTGATATGCACTTCTCCTAAGTGGCTTTAGTTTTATATTAAGTGCCATCCTGATATGCTCAAGAGTTGGGTTATTTCACTTGGTTACTTATTTTGTTTTGTGTGTTTGGTTGGCTTTTAACTCTGTTGTCTTTAGAAGGACATAAACCTATGAGTGAACTTTACTCATAGGTTTAATTACTTCTTTACTTCTTTACTAAGTAATAGATAATAGTTCAATGCTAATTTACAATAAGCACAATCTAGATATTAAACTATCAATTAGATTCATAAGATGAGTTCTAGTTATATCTACTAAATTGAAAAAATTCAGTGAATGTTGTAATGTTAAAGATATGATGCTGAAAACCTAAATGAATAATTCAATTATTGTTTGCTGAATAAATTCATGTATGCACAAATGATTGCTTCTAAACACTGTACACATATTAATTCAAGTAAAATTTTTTCACTGATTTTTAAATTATTAAAATTCAGTACCTTAAATTTTTTTTTTCCAAATTTTGTATACTACTGTCCAAATATCAAGATGATAGTTGTATTTACACTTACAAAAGTAGATCCTTTAAGTGTCCTGATAACCAAATTTTTTTACATAAAAATATCCTTAAAGACCACTTTCGGATTTTTTTTAGAGGTAGTTGATTTGGAGAGAAAGGAATTACTGCTTGAATATTACTAGGAATTTTCTGTTCTCATGAAAAAGTACCAATGACTTCTAGTATCAATATGTATTGTGATATTTTACAAAATATTTTCCTTTGGTAGGTGGAATTGCAGCCTAAGTATGAAGAAAGTCTATACATGTATCTTTACTTTGTTATTTTCATCATCTTTGGGTCCTTCTTCACCTTGAACCTGTTTATTGGTGTCATCATAGATAATTTCAACCAGCAAAAAAAGAAGATAAGTATTTCTAATATTTTCTCTCTCATTAAAGACAGTAAAATTATTTGAGGTATTCTCACTACCAAAGTATACTTTAATTCAGAGACCAAATGGGTAGGTATAAAAAAGTCTTTTTTTATATCCTCTCTCTTGCCATACACTGCTCACATTCCTGGGAATAGACTTACAAATCCTCTCTCCCTTCTGTTTTTTTTATTTTTATTTTTAATTGGAAACTAAATTTTCTATCTTTTGAAAGAGAACATTAGAAAGAAACCCAGGCATATGCCCTTTTCCCGATGTCAGCTTACAAAAAATAAAATATTTTTATTGCCTTAGCTAGTTTGGCTTAGTGAATAGGGCATCTGCCTATGGACTGAAGGGTCCCGGGTTTGATTCTGGTCAAGGGCACATGCCTAAGTTGCAGACTCAATCCCCAGTAGAGAGAATGCAGGAGGCAGCTGATCAATATATATATATATATATATATATATATATATATATATATATATATATATGTATATATGTATATATATATATATATATTTATTTATATATATATTTATATATATATATATATATATGGGAAAGGGAGAGAAACATCAATGAGACAGGAACATCATCCATCAGCATGCCCCACACTGTGAATCAAGCTTACAATCTAGGCATGTGCCCTGACCAGGAATTGAACCAGCAACTTCCTGGTTCCTGAGTGGATATTCATCCTCTGAGTCATGGTCCATCCCCTTTAATTATTACTAATATTGTGTTGTAGACAATATCAGGCTCGAGTTCCAAATCCTCTCTATCTACTGGTCTATCACATACCTGTCATACTTATGATCTCTGACTTATCCCTTAACTCTTCTACCAACTCATTCAGTTTTCTTTCCATACTTTTGCACCAATTCTTGGCAGAGTGAAAATGCCTTTCTATGAGTACTCTAAACCATCTTGCAATATAAATATGCTAACTATTACATTTGAATTAAAAAATATTGTCTTTAACTTCAAGAAGGCAGTGTGTATAGTGTAATGAACAAAGTATTTCATTTCTAAGAATCAAATTTTACCTCTCACTTAATATTTGGTCTGAAATAAAATAGTTAGCCTCCCAGTTTCTGGAATTTTTCCTTCATAAAGTAACTAGAGGCCCAGTGCATGAAATTTGTGCACTCGGGAGGGGGATCCCTCAGCCTGGCCTGCGCCCTTTCACATTCTGGGAGCCCTCAGGAGATGTCCAACTGATGGCTTAGGCTCATCCTCTATGGGCAGCAGAACTAAGCTAGCAGTCGGACATCCTTAGTGCTACCCCGGAGGAGGGAGAGGCTCCTGCCACCACTGCTGCACTTGCTAGCCATTAGCCTGGCTTCTGGACGAGTGGCGCTCCCCCTGTGGGAGCACACTAACCACCAGGGGGCAGCTCCTGCATTGAGCGTCTATCCCTCGTGGTCAATGTGCATCATAGGGACCAGCCATTCCACTGTTTGGTTGATTTGCATATTAGCCTTTTATTATATAGGATAATGAAAATAATAAAGTGAATATCAGATGATTGTGAGAATTAAATAGGATTATAGTACCTAAAGTATACTTTTAATTTTTCAAATTTTAAGTCACAGGCATAATTATCCTAACTGGTTGAAGCTTCCGTTTCCTTTTTGAACTACCCCTTTCCTATTTTAAGTTTATCATTAAAATATTGTGTGCAAAGGGACATAGTTTTAACCAGTTTTGTTTTTTCTTTTCTATACTTTGGAGGTCAAGACATCTTTATGACAGAAGAACAGAAGAAATATTATAATGCAATGAAAAAATTAGGATCGAAAAAGCCACAGAAGCCTATACCTCGACCAGGAGTAAGAAATACCAAATGTCATGGGGGGGAAATATACCGAACACAAAAATTTACATAGGTTTTCCTACAAGACCAATAGCAGCTAACATTTCTAGCCTCAAATATTTCTTTAATTTTTTAAAACATCATTAATTCATATATTTTATGGTAATGGTAAAAATTATTTTAAAGAAGATAGAGACCAAAAATAAAAAAGAAGAAACAGAAAATGTGCTCTTAATTTCAAGGGATTTAGAATTATACAGTTGGAATCCAAACTAAATGGCAAAGGACACAAAATACTAGTGAACTGTCATAATATGCTAGCCAGCAGTTGCATTCTTGAGAATGATAAGTAAAATAAATTTTCCCTTGATAAGCCCCAACAGTGGAAATAAAAATGGGTCAACTGTATATAGGAAAAACGTAAGATAGAAGATGTCATAAGAGTTCCTCAGTGACCTAGGGAAATGAGCCAGACAATGGCCGGCAGGGACTGACAGTGGCAGAACTGGCGAGCAGAACCAAGGATCAGTGACAAAGGATGTGAATTTTTAAAAATATCTTTATCGATTTATCTTTATTTGGAGAGAGGAAAAGAGAAGGAGAAAGAAAGGGAAATGTCGATGTGAGAATGAAACATTGATCAGCTGCCTCCTCTACATCCCCTACCAAGGATGAAGCCCGCAACCCAGGCATGTGCCTTGGCAGGAAATATAATAGAACCAGCAACCTTTTGGTGCATGGTAGATGCCCAACTGAGAACCAGCCAGGGCTGAGGGTATGCATTTTTCACATCAGAGAATAAGAGAGTGCTTTTCTGGTCTGGTTGTCTCTGTGTAGACTCAATCAAAAGTGTGTGTCTGACAATGTCAGCAAAGACTGTGTGGTGAAAAAACATCAACACTGCCATACATGAACTTTAAATGCAAAATGTCCTAGAAATCCCAAGTTCCCTTGAACAGTTCTTTGAAAATAAGACAAAATAATTATGTTATTAGATACTGAATTTTGAAATGGATGATGCATGGTTCAACTCATAATGGCACATTTTGGTAAAACAAAATAAAGCGGATTTCTTACCTTCTCATAAACTTAATACATTAATATGCATTTGTATTACTATGCAATGTTTCTTATCAGAAATATCCTTTTGAGAAGAGATTATTACTCTGTGGAATACACACTGGTAAGCAGCAATTTAGATAACCGAATTCAAAAAATTAATGTATTGCCCAGTCAGCATGTCTCAGTGGTTGAGCATTGACCTATGAATCAGGAGGTCATGGTTCGATTCCTGGTCAGGGAACATGCCTGAGTTGCGGGCTCAATTCCCAGTGTGTGGTGTGCAGGAGGCAGCCAATCAATAATTCTCTTTCATCATTGATGTTTCTATCTCTCCCTCTCCCTTCCTCTCTGAAATAAATAAAAATATATTTTTTAAAAGTAATGCATTATAAACCACCTTTTACAAAATTCAGGGCCAATGGTTATTCTGTACAATACTAGAAAGTCAATGGAGAAAGTGCTTCTATAGATGTTAATATGTTCAGGAAAACATCCGAAACTGGTTTGGCTCAGTGGATAGAGCATCGGCCTGCGGACTGAAGGGTCCCGGGTTCGATTCTGGTCAGAGGCAAGTACCTTGGTTGCGGGCACATTACCAGTAGGGGTTGTATAGGAGGCAGCTGATCAATGATTCTCTCATCAATGTTTCTAACTCTCTATCCCTCTCTCTTCCTCTCTGTAAAAAAATCAATAACATATATATATATATATATATTTAAAAAATATATATGTTCAGGAAAACTATTCTGTTGCTAAAAGCATTTCTGTTTCTCTACAGAACAAGTATCAAGGAATGGTCTTTGACTTTGTAACCAGACAAGTGTTTGACATAAGCATTATGATCCTCATCTGTCTCAACATGGTCACAATGATGGTAGAAACAGATGACCAAAGTGAATATGTAACTAGTGTTTTGTCACGCATCAACCTGGTGTTCATTGTGCTGTTCACTGGAGAGTGTGTTCTGAAGCTCATCTCCCTCCGCCATTATTATTTCACCATAGGCTGGAATATTTTTGATTTTGTGGTTGTCATTCTCTCCATTGTAGGTAAGAAGTATTTAAAGTCTCTTAAGTTCAGCTCAATAAAAGTAAAAGTGGGAACAATCAAGTTTACATTAGAGGTCATCCCCCCACTCAGAGATAACCACTAAGAAAATGTTAATGTATTTCATCCACGTGTGTTTGTTTTTCTTATAAAATGAGGCTCCTGCTGTACATACAGTATTGTATCTTATTCTGTTCATTTTAGACACTGGGTGTATTATTTGTCAGTATAATAAACTTTCATTCATTTGAAATAGAAATGTACTATTAACTAAGATCAAAATGTTTTGAGATGTTGAGATTTAATAGCCTATACAATATCTAGATGGCTCTATTGATAAGAGGACTAGAAATTTAGTTTGGTATTTAGGTAATACATTGCATCAGAGATATGGACATAGACATAGAGTCATCAGCAAGTAGATAGGAGTGGAAGTTGATGACAAGAGAAGATAAAGTCTAGAGTGAGAAGAGAATAAAAATAAGAGCAAAATGTTACCAGATTCATATCACAAGTTCTTTAAGGGTATCAGGTATAGATTTTCTAGATTACCCTGAAAGGGTCTATAGTAATGATGCACAAGGGAAAGTGCAGGTGGCACGGGACATTATTTGATGTTTGTTCAAAACCCTTCAACAGGTCACATGAGCAATAGCTCATCTTGTTAAAGATACAACTACAGCTCCAGTGAAACAAAGAAGTGTGTCTGGGACTGAAGCATTCACTCTTTCCTAAACCAGATAATATGATTAGGCCAATATTTAACCATCCAATATGGGGCACCTCTATTGGGCAGATTTTTAAAAAATATATTTTATTGATTTTTTTAGAGGAAGAGAGAGGGATAGAGAGTCAGAAACATCAGTGAGAGAGAATCATTGATCAGCTGCTTCTTGCACCACCCCTACTGAGGATGTGCCCGCAACCAAGGTACATGCCCTTGACCGGAATCGAACCCAGGACCTTTCAGTCCGCAGGTCAACACTCTATCCACTGAGCCAAACTGGTCTCGGCTCTATTGGGCAGATTTTTATTTCATTTCCTTCTCTGAAGAAGTGGATTGATATCCAATTCGTATTTGTATGTAGCCTTTGATTCCTACACTAATCCCTCATATAAACCTTTGTGGATAGGGTACTAAAGTTACGACTCTTCTTATTCTCTCTCTCTCTCTCTCTCTCTCTCTCTCTCTCTCTCTCTCTCTCTCTCACACACACACACACACACACACACACACACACACACACACACAATTATGTAGGCTTACGTACCTGTACAGAATGAGACAGTGTGACTACAAGGCACTTGGTTTCTTGAGCTCCTCTTTAGTACAATTATTATTTCATTATTTAAATGGTAAGAGGAGAAAGAAGCTTAAAAGAAGAGGGCTGAGACAAGTATCAGCTACAGGACACCAAAAAGATCATCAGCCTTAGATTCCTTTATACATGCACCAGAGCATCTATAAATAAATATATAAGAATATTATAGAGGAGACTTGGGAAAGTATTAAGTTCATGGAGAGATGAAAATAGCATCAAATACTGCAGATGATTTTAGATGGTTAAGGACTGAAAAGAGGATATGTGGTTTGCTAATTTCAGGGGGGGAGTATATTCGTGTAAATTTGTTCTTATACTGTTGGCCAATATTATTCAGCCAGAATTAAGAATTTTAACTAATTTTTAAAGATTCAGTCTGGAAATTTTAAGTAGGCTAATAGATAGTTTATAAAGTCAAAAAAAGTACTGTAAAATTTTTATTGAACTGAATGTTGTTTTAACAGAACAGGTGGCTTGAACAACTGAAATTTATTTTCTCAAAGTTCTGGAGGTTAAAAATCCAAGATAAAGGTGCCAGCATGGTGGGTTCCTGATGAGAGCTCCCTTCTTAGCTTGTAGACAGCCACCTTCTCACAGTGTCCTCACATGGCTGCGGGGAGGGGGGCTTGAAGTGGAACAGAAAGCTCTCAGGTTTCTCTTCTTATAAGGGAACTAATCCACCATGAAGGCCCAGCCTGAGGATCTGTTGTAAACCCAATTATTTCCCAAAGGCCTTATCTCCAAATACAGGGAGGATGGTTAAGGCTTTAACATATGAATTTGGGGCTGGAAATATTCCATCTGTTGCAAATATTGAGTTAACATAATACTGGATGCCATTTTGGTTTATTTATAATCTATATTATATACAATTATATATGTGTGTGTATACATTAAATTTATTGTTATGTAAACTGCATATCAATACTCTGAACTTTACCTTAGAGCCTTGACAGAAACTTGTGTTATTTTAATAGATAACTTCTTCATTGGTTGACATTCTCATTTTTTTTTTATCTACAGGCATGTTTCTGGCTGAGCTGATAGAAAAATATTTTGTGTCCCCTACCCTGTTCCGAGTGATCCGTCTTGCCAGGATTGGCCGCATCCTACGTCTGATCAAAGGGGCAAAGGGGATCCGCACGCTGCTCTTTGCTCTGATGATGTCCCTCCCTGCGCTGTTTAACATCGGCCTCTTGCTCTTCCTGGTCATGTTCATCTACGCCATCTTCGGGATGTCCAACTTTGCCTATGTCAAGAGGGAAGTTGGAATCGATGACATGTTCAACTTTGAAACCTTTGGCAACAGCATGATCTGCCTGTTCCAGATCACCACCTCTGCTGGCTGGGACGGGCTGCTGGCACCTATTCTCAACAGCGGGCCTCCAGACTGTGACCCCGATAAAGTAAACCCTGGAAGCCAAGTGAAGGGAGACTGTGGAAACCCATCTGTCGGGATTTTCTTTTTCGTCAGCTATATCATCATATCCTTTCTGGTGGTGGTGAACATGTACATCGCTGTCATCCTGGAGAACTTCAGTGTCGCCACTGAGGAAAGCGCAGAGCCCCTGAGTGAGGATGACTTCGAGATGTTCTACGAGGTCTGGGAGAAGTTTGATCCCGATGCCACCCAGTTCATGGAGTTTGAAAAACTATCGCAGTTTGCAGCTGCTCTTGAACCCCCTCTCAATTTGCCACAGCCCAACAAACTCCAGCTCATTGCCATGGACTTGCCCATGGTCAGTGGCGACCGGATCCACTGTCTTGACATTCTATTTGCTTTTACTAAGAGGGTTCTGGGAGAGAGTGGAGAGATGGACGCTCTCCGAATACAGATGGAAGAGCGGTTCATGGCTTCTAACCCATCAAAGGCCTCCTACCAGCCAATTACTACAACTTTAAAACGAAAACAAGAGGAGGTGTCTGCTCTCATTATTCAGCGTGCTTACAGGCGCCACCTTTTGAGGCGAACTATGAAACAAGCTTCATTTATGTACAACAAAAACAGACTCAAAGGTGGGGTTAATCTTCTCGGAAAAGAAGACATGATCATTGACAGAATAAATGAAAATTCTATTACAGAAAAAACTGATCTGACCATGTCCACAGCAGCTTGTCCACCCTCCTATGACCGGGTAACGAAGCCAATCGTGGAAAAACACGAGCAAGAAGGCAAAGATAAAAAAGCCAAAGGGAAATAAACAAAACAAAAATAAATAAATAAATAAATAAATAAATAAATAAATAATAATTGGGTTACTATTTGTTTACAAGCCTGTGAAGGTGATGTCTTTTTGTCAACAGGACTCCTTTAGGAGGTCAATGCCAAACTGACTGTTTTTACACAAATCTACTTAAGGTCAGTGCCTACAATAAGACAGTGACCCCTCGTCAGAAAACTGCAACTCTGTGTAGAAGGGGAGATGACAGGAGGTTACTGCTCTCACTACCAGCTGACACTGCTGAAGGCAAGAGACAAAACGGCTACTCAGAATGTGAGGACCAGTTCCAAGGGGTGCAAACCTATGATTTGGGTTGTTTAACATGAAACACTTTAGTGTCTGTCGTAGTTGTATCCACTCTTTGCATTTCAACTGCCACATTTGTCACATTTTTACGAAATCTGTTAGTGGATTCATCTTTTGTTTTGTTTGTTTTTCCAATCCATATGTTGTGTATTATATGTGACTATTTTTGTAAACGGGGCTTCTGTTGGGAAATAGAGTAAAGAACCTCTTTACCAGGTATGCCACCGGGAGTGATGGCCATCACATCGCCCTCCTAACTGAACAAAGACGTGGTTTGCATCAGGGCCTGTGACGCTTAGAGATCATGCATGAAAAAAGGTCATGAGGAAAGCAATGAGTTCTTAAATTCCATCCGTGTTTCCGGAGGGGTAATCAGGTGATCACTGGAGGTGCTTTGCTCATCTTGTTTTGTGTTTTTTGTTTTCAAATCCAGCCCCTAGACCAAGTACATCATTTTGGGGGTGGTAGGCCATTAAACGTTAGTAGGTGCAAACTTCATTCAAATGTCTGGAATCATAATGTTATGTTTTTGATTATTGTATTAAAAAAACAAACAAACACTAAATAATGAGCATTGCTTCTCCCCTGAAGACGGAATTGACCAAAAGAACCCTTTATAAATTTCTGCTTAATCCTGCACTTTGTTTAGCCATCTTCAGCTCAGCAAGATCAACGCTGTATATGTTACTGAAATGCTATTTATTATGTAAATAGTCATTTTACCCTGTGGTGCACGTTTGAGCAAACAAATAATGACCTAAGCACAGTATTTATTGCATCAAATATGTACCACAAAAATGTAGAGTGCAAGCTTTACACAGGTAATATAAAATATTCTGTACCATTATAAATAGTTTGGATGCTACAAATGCATGTTTTTTATTACCATGCTGCTATATCTGGTTTCTCCCATGGCTCGGAATCTTGTTTATGAGAAACCGTATGTCAGTGGTAATTGTTCAACCGACTTCATTTCTTTATGCCATTTAGCAATAGTTTGCAGCACTTTAATAGCCTTTTGGTTATTTTTAAATTTTAAGTGGATAACATATGGTGTATAGCCAGACTGTACAGACATGTTTAAAAATAAACAAACAAAAAAACCTTGCTTAACCTGTTAAAAATGTGTTTAGAATTTTATAAGCAAATATAAATACTGTAAAAAAAAAAGTCATTTTATTTTATTTTTCAGCATTATGTACATAAATATGAAGAGGAAATTAATTACCTTCAGGTTGAGATCACAATCACTTTTCTTACTTTCTGTCCATAGTACTTTTTAATGGAAGAAATTTGCTAAAAAAAAGAAATGAAAACAAGACTGGGTATTTGTGTATTTCTGCTTTTTATTACATTTGCTAAGTTTAGATTATTTCATAATTTTAAGGGCCAAAATGGGTTCACAATTCACATCCAAATTATGCTTTGTAATCAGAAAAGGGTATAAAATTTTATTTACATTTTTTGGTGGCATCTGTACTAGCTGATTGAAGGTAGTGTTTATTGTTTATTTTTTCATTTTTGTCCTTTTCCCTAACTTCTTTTATATTTTTATTTCTTTGGACTCATGCTGCTTTAGATTGCAGTAAATATGATGTGGGTTTCACATTCTCCCCCCACAAAAATAGAGTAGTGAACTTATCTAGGCAATTACATCAGGACATTTTGTGTTTCTTACAGAAGAAGCAAACTGTAGGCTCCTCTTTTTCTTAAAACTACTTAGATAAACTGTATTCGTGAACTGCATGCCGGAAAATGCTACTGTTACCCTAAATGATGCTAACCAACATTAAAAATGTGCAAAACTAATAAAGATTACATTTTCTATTTTATTGTTTGCCCGGGTACTTTTTGTTAAAGTATTTTATAACAAAACAAAGCTATATTTATTCAACCAACTGGGGGAGAAGGGGAGCTAAACTTCCACACATACACACACAACTGGGTCTACCTGGGCTGACAGTAAGCTGTGTCTCTGTTAGGTGAAAGAAAAGAGTATAAGCTGATGTCTTCAGGAGGAGACATAAGGAAACCCAAATATTGGCGGATGGTGACTTGAAGCACAAAAAGAATCCCTTAAATTTGCATTTTAAAAAAGTAAAAGTTGCTGTGTGTGGGTTGGATATTTTGTTTGTACCTCCAGGGCCACACTTCTCCAAGCTTCTCCATGTGGCTCTGTGTGAGGGTAATTATATGCACTGCATCAGTCTCATCAAGCAATCTCTTACTCGACAGCTCACCACTGCTTTGGCCATTGGGAAGCAGCATCAGGAAAGCACCAATGGGAGAAGAGTGAATTGGGTTCTTATTTCCAGTGGTTCCTTTGTTGAGCTGTTCTGGGCTGGCAGTGGCTGCATTTGACAATCTGTTATGAAACCAGAAGGGAGAATATGACCTTGACAAGAAAAAGAGCAGTAATGTACAGTACTCTCATCCTTATATAAGTTTGTCTTTTCACATCATAACCCTAAAACAACACAATAATACTGATTTATCAATGACTGAAAAGAATTTTCTATTTCTGATCAATATAAATAAGAATTATAGAAGAATTCTTGCTGATTTTTTATATTCCACATCCATACTAGAACTCAGCAAATACAAAGAGAACTGGAGAACGTAATGTTTTTATATCAAGTCAAAATTGTACAGACAGAATCTAACCATAAAGAAAATCAAATTGAGGGCATTCTATAAAATAATGACTGTAATCTTCAAAAATATTAATGTTATAACAAGCAAAAATAAATAAATAAATAAATAAATAAATAAATAAATAAAGGCCAAGGAACTGGTTGTCACTAAGGAACTATAAAAACTAAACATAATTGTTGAGTCTAGATTCAATACTGGACTAGGAAAGTAATAGTGATTATGAATATTACTGGGAAAACTAAGTTTAAAGGTAGACTGTTGATTAATTATTATCATTCTAAATGGGTTAATTTCCCTAATTTTATTAAGTATAGTGCTGCTATTATATCACCACAGGTAATGTCCTTGTTCTTGGAAAATGCACACTAAGATATTTAAGGGTGAATGGTGTCTGCAATTCATTCTCAAATGGGTTCAAAGGAAATTTATACTAATAAAAGGGTAATATGCTAATTAGACCAAATAAACCAGATGTTTTCTGGACGTCCTTCTGGACAAAGCTGCAACAGCTGTGAGGGCCAAGGAGGGCAGCCATGGCAGCCAGCAGTGGCAGCAGCATCAGCGTGATGGGAATGGTGCCTAGCCCTGATCAGCTCAGTCACCTCCAGCTGAGGGAGACCAGAGGCAGCAGCAGTGGCAGAGTGATGGGGATGGCACCTTCCCCTGAACAGCCCGGTCACCTCCGGGGAGTGGGCCTAAGCCATCAGTAAGATATCCTCTGAGGGTTCCTGAACTGTGAGAGGGGGGTAGGCCGGGCTGAGGAACTCCCACCCCAGTGCACAAATTTTCATGCACCAAGCCTCTAGTCAATTATAAGTATCTATGTGTTTGTGTAAATTTAGATACATAGATAAATATGGATATAAATGTGATAAATATGTGTGTCTTTTGGGAAGGAATGATTTTTTTGTTGCTGTGTGTTATTGAAGTGTGAATATATGTGTATTCACTCTACAGCCTGTTTTTGGTATCCTAAAATTTATTACTTTTGCCCTCAAACATAGATATGTTACCTCCAGTTACCTTAAATAATACTATATTGTAACTCTTGTTTCCTGGAAGTCATGTTTCTAAAAAGTAACTAAATGATATATTCTTTATCCTTCATGATAATTCTTATATTGCTAAAAAAATAAGGCTATTTTATGAGAAATCTGTAGTTAAGATTCAGATAACTTGCTTTTACTTCACCAAAAAACATGAGGACATTGTCAAGAACTTCTTCAACTTCCTTCGTCTCCAATGAAAAATGTCTTTCTTCTCTTCCTTTCCTTTCTACTCTTTTTCCTTCCTTGCTCCTCCCTTTGCTATCCTTTCTTTCCCTCTCTTCTTCTCCCTCCTTTTCCTTTCCTTCATATCTTCCCAGAGATCATTTTCCCTCATTCATTTCTACATACCCTGATATGTGTTCCATAGGTTATTCTCCTCTCTTGTATCTATTCTCTCTCTGACTCTTGATTAATCCTTTTTGACTGGATTTGCATTTTCAAAACTGTTTTTATTTATTCTTGCAAAATAACTGCTCAAGTCTGATGCATTTTGACCCACAAATATCTCATTCCTTTTAAAAATTACCTTCTAAAATCAGGGTTCTACACTTACCACCTTCTATCTCAGTTAAAATTCAATGAAATATGGGTCCCAATGATATTTAGGTGAAATTTTGGCTGTGAATAATCTTATTAGCATAGCACTTTGAGTTTTCAAAATGAAATTCTGGCTGTTATCCTTCTCAATATCATTAGGAGGGAAAGACTAGAAAATACAGAAGGTGGATATATGAACAAAAACTGTTACCCATGTGAAGCAAAACTGTATGTACTGTTATTGGTTATCATGAATTACATCTCCCTGTTTAATGCTTACTTAGAAAGGCAAGATATTCATAGAGCTATTCAATTCTAACTGCAGCAATTTTTTTCTTTTGTTGTTGTTGTTTGTTTATATATACACTAATGTGCACAAAAATTCAATGTGCACAAAATTCGTGCACATTAAAAGATGGACCCAGAGTCAAGTCTTCGCCCACCCACATGCACCTCAAAATCATGTGAGACCCAGACCCGGTGCCCCCCTCATTGGGTTAGATCCAGACCTGGTCAGTCCCACCCTTGTCAAGCCCCGCTGGGCAAGGGGTGTAGCTTCAGGTCTCCTGGCCTGGCACCAGGGCAGGGGGCGTGGCCATAGGTCCCCCAGATGGTGGTTGGGGTTTGGCTTTAACTTATGTGAAGAAGAATCGTTGAGGCATTTGTAAATAAATAAGTAAATAAATAAATAAATTTAAAAGCAGAGTGAAGGTGCTAGATGGAGCAGATTTTGACTTTTAGGAAAAGGACATAGAAAGCAGGAACATAATTTAAGAAGCTACTGAGGAAACAAGAAAGCAATGATGGGACATAGCCTTGACCACCCTCCTCATCTCTGTTTCTACTTCCTGAAACAAACCCACCCTTCAGAATTCAGCGACAGCTTTCTTGTTTCTTATTACTGGAAGAGAACTGTATGTCCCATGTACTCTATGGGATTCTGATGCACGTATCCAACCCCAGACACTTTTGAGAATGAAGGCGAGGAATGTTAATAATCACACTAAAACAGCAGGCATACGTGCAGACTGTTCTACGCAAACAGGACCTCACATATGCCATTTGTATGGCATGTAAACTGCCTCGGTGCAGTGGTTGGAATGTGGGCTTCTTCCTCTCATCTCCCTTCTCCTCCACTTCTGCCATGAGAACACACAATACATAATGTCTGATAATCAGAAACTGGCCCGAAGTACTTTGTATCTTTTACAGTATTTTGTAAAAGATACACAGGAGGTGCTTAGTAGATAGTTTGTAAATGAGCAAATTAGTTAATTAATTGTTAGCATTGCTTTGAATTGCTTTTCTCTTAAGTTATTTACCTCTCTAAGATCTTTTCCTCTTGTATACTATATTAGAGGCCTGTCATTATATGTAAAATATATAAACTAATAACATCACAAAAGTTACCAATGAAACTCAGCTTTGGTATACTATAGTAATAGTGGGTATCTATAATAATAAAAGCATAATATGCTAATTAAACCAGACATCCTTCCAGATGACTTTCCAGACAAGTCGGGGCTGTGAGAGAAGCCTGGGTCTTGGATGCCAGAGGGAAGCTGGTGCCAGCAGCCAGGGGAAGGAAGGCCTATTCTTGCATGAATTTCATGCATTGGGTCTCTAGTACATATAATAAACATTTAAATAAACATATATGACATCCATAAGAGCACATACACTTCCTCTATGTTATATAAGAAATAAACATAGTGTAAGTGTAGATATAGGTGTACATTGATATATACATAAATATTTCCAAGGTATAGGAGTCCACACATTGATATTTAACTTTTTAGAACTGAAGGGTTATACAATACTCACCTCATTCTTTGTCATGTGGAACTATTGAACTGCACCATTTTAAATTTATTTCTCTGAAAGGAATTAGGGCTTCTGGACCTTGTTTTCTTCTCAGCATCGCTTGGCCTGGTTCTTATCTGCATTATTAATGTTCATTTTTCATCGAGGATGGTGAAGAAATGTCTTGTTCAGCAGTATCTCTGGAAGTCATTGAAAACACAGATTTCTAAAGGCAAGCAAATTGTACCTTTGTTCAACCGCAGTGGTAAGTGCAGCCTTTTGCCTTACCTTAGGGAAAATATCCTGAAATAGGTGCAATGCTCAGGCAAAATATAGTAACCAGAAGATTGTGAACTTACAAATATTTAAGAAGCTAAATAATAGAATTTATGGAGAATGGTCAGAGTACCTAGAAATATTTTGCTCAGAAAAAGGAGAGTGAGGAAGGACTTCATTCAAATAGGCAGAGGTCGTTCTACTTGTCATATATAATGTTCGTTGAAATAAAACTCATTTGGCAGTTAACAGCATTAAATACAGTATGAAACTAGCCAGGTATGTCTTAGGACTTTATGATATTCTGCTTTTCCGACCAAAACCTAGCTGTTTCCATGGCATTCTCTTGGCCTTCCTTTGAACATCCAAATCAATCCAACCATGACCTCAGCATGGTGGGCCCCAAATCTCTGGAGCTATTACATAACCACTTTCAACAATCTTAGAACAATTAAGAAAAACACTCATCTAATTTGAAAAACCTCCCAGGGCAATATCTAAAAATACAGTTC